TCAGTTTGCTTTTTGCTGCTAGTTGGTTCTGCTGCTACTAGGCATCTGAAGATGTCCTCTTTGTATATATATATACATTTTTGCATATATATTAACATATTTTTTGTATATTGTATACAGTTTTTAAAATTATGCTGTATAATCTTTTATTGTTATTTTTATTACTCCTCTGTCCATTTGCTGCTGTAATAATGCAAATCTCCCAACTGTGGGATTAATAAAATTTACCGATTGAACCTGAATGTGCCAAACTGACTAATTTGCCAATTACCAAGCTATGTCCAATTTGTAAATGAATTGTTCTTTTGAACTGGTTCTTTATTATTTTGCTTTACAAACATTTAATGAATAGTATACATATACAGAGCCAGAGGTATTAATCACAAACCAACAGCACAATTGGGGGGGAGGTGGCGGGGTTGTGATGTTTATCTTTGCAATGGGCACCCATGCAATGGTCACATTGTGAAAGGGTGCGATTTTAAGATAATTTAATAATAATAAAGATTTCATTGTTTAAAATGACAAACACTCTTTAGGATAAAATTAGTTTTGCAACTAAGCCTAAAAAACTAAGCTAGAATAACTGATTTGTACAATAAAATGAGTGTCTGATACAGAACTATAATCTTCATTAGGTATAGATTTCATGTTCATGCTCTGCATGCTCAGCAAATTGGCCTCAGTAACATCCATCCATCCATCCATTTTCTGTAACCGCTTTTCCTATTCAGAGTTACGGAGGGGTCTGGACCATATGCCAAAGGCTATGGGTGCGAGACAGGGAACAACCTAGGAAAGCTATCACACACACAAGCTCAACATTCCAACAAAGCACAACAAATGTTTCTAAAAACACATTATCCAAATCCCCAGAAACTATAGGAAAAAACCCTAAAGATGCTGTCTTGAAATACCAGGTCAATGCTCGTGGACTGCTATAATACTAGAAGCAGTTTCACCGTGTCTCTTGTCTTCATCAGCAAGAGCTGGGTTCTTTTCCTTTCTTTAAACTGGAGAATGGCCCCACTGAGATGCTTTTGAAAGTGTATATATTAAATAAAAAAACACATTAGCAGCAGCACAGTGGCACTGTGGTTAGCACAGTTCTGGGACTGTGGTTTGAGTCGCTGCCATAGCACCATGTGAGTGGAGTTTGCATGTTGTGGGGTTTCCTCCAGGTTACTTTCAGGTTCCCCCACAGTCCAAATATATGCTGAGGTTAATTTCTTTACCAAATTGCCCAATGGTGTGCATGTGTGAGTGCATGGTGTGTGAGTGTGCCCTGCAGTGGGTTGTTCCCTGCTTTGTCCCCATAGCCTCCAGGATAAGATCGAGACCCCCTATTGACCCTAAATAGGAAATGTAGTTACAGAAAATGGATGGATAAAAAATGCATTAGACGCATGTAAAGTGTTTTGCAGTTTTGTACTTTACAAGCACATACGAAAACCCCAAACCTAAGCCCTTTTATAAGAATATCGATTGAAACATTCTGCAAACACTTTGAAAACCAAAAACAATAAACACATCAAGAACAGACCTTCAAAAGAGTTCTTAAAACCATTTTGTATACTGCAATACACTCGTTCACGTTTCTGAAAGCTAGGTTAAATATATTATTGAAAAAATTAATAAAAGGTTAAAAATATGAGCAAAGCATACAAAAAAGACAGAAAAAAAAAAGAAATACAAAAAGTATGAAGTGCCCATAATGCAGAAGTGCACATTTATTGCACCTATAATACAGTGACTAACCAACGGATCTATTTTTGTAAGTGAACAACTAACCACTCAGAACGCGTCCTTCTCCCCCAACTTCTCCGAAAAGAAGTTAGAACGGTCATCAATGACAGAGAACAATTGAAAATAATCAACATTCTCCATCCGCTTCGCGCTCAGAGAAGGACGTCATGCCTCTTCATCGTGGTTAGCGTGACCAAACACTTTAGAAATGCATCTCTCAAGTCAGAAACTATAGAAATGATCCCTGAAAGTATAGTCTTAACCCGAAACTGCGACGCTCGCCAACCCCTATAATCTACCAAACACTCTAACTCACGGTATCCCGAAACGAGGCTCTGGATCACCGAACTTGATTTTCATTAATTATTTTTCGTAACCATTAATGCATCGCAGTAATAGAATACAGCTGTTCTAAAACTCAGCTCTCCATCTGTACAAGAAGTTAATTTAGATCAAAACCGACTCACATATGAAAATATATGCCACTATAATTAGTCAGAAATTGCACTTAGTAATACAAGTCGGATACTAGTCGTACTTATTTCCATAAATATTTTCGTGAATGTTATACAGATTTCCTATTTTGAATGCTTTGCAAAATGTTTTTAATACGGATTTTTTTCACTTCCCAGAATGCATCCGGTCGTTTTTGAATAGCACGGCAAGAATCGGAAGTCACGCGATGTTTCAGTGACCTTAAAGAGACAAGTGTGACGGCGCTACCCCTGTCAGTACTTTACGATCCGCTTGTTTTTTTGACACTCCATTGCTAAGTGTCTTGCCTGATATGTTTTCTCTTAGCTCATTATTATTAGCTGGAACTTTATCTTATGCTTGATTATTTTTGGAGCCGGTTATTTTATTATGTTTTAATCGGCCTACCTCTTTTTGCGTGAGTTTCTGTCTATTTAGCCTGATAAATAATCTGTACTAATCCGTTAAATCATGGGTAACTGAGACGATGGCGTGCATGTGATGCATGCAATATTATGAATATGTGGCGATGAACTAGCGCAATATTGCTTCATGGTCGCGAATTATGTATTAATTCCACGGGTTAATGTATTTCGAAGTTACCTTTTCTTTCCAGAGTAAACGGGTATACAACGCTTTTCATTAATATACAGGGTTTGGTCAGCTGGCTGGAGTCAGATTTTCAATTTGAGACAAGTCTACACACGCATACATTCGCACTTATATGTGTGTCACAGTTTNCCAACTTCTCCGAAAAGAAGTTAGAACGGTCATCAATGACAGAGAACAATTGAAAATAATCAACATTCTCCATCCGCTTCGCGCTCAGAGAAGGACGTCATGCCTCTTCATCGTGGTTAGCGTGACCAAACACTTTAGAAATGCATCTCTCAAGTCAGAAACTATAGAAATGATCCCTGAAAGTATAGTCTTAACCTGAAACTGCGACGCTCGCCAACCCCTATAATCTACCAAACACTCTAACTCACGGTATCCCGAAACGAGGCTCTGGATCACCGAACTTGATTTTCATTAATTATTTTTCGTAACCATTAATGCATCGCAGTAATAGAATACAGCTGTTCTAAAACTCAGCTCTCCATCTGTACAAGAAGTTAATTTAGATCAAAACCGACTCACATATGAAAATATATGCCACTATAATTAGTCAGAAATTGCACTTAGTAATACAAGTCGGATACTAGTCGTACTTATTTCCATAAATATTTTCGTGAATGTTATACAGATTTCCTATTTTGAATGCTTTGCAAAATGTTTTTAATACGGATTTTTTTCACTTCCCAGAATGCATCCGGTCGTTTTTGAATAGCACGGCAAGAATCGGAAGTCACGCGATGTTTCAGTGACCTTAAAGAGACAAGTGTGACGGCGCTACCCCTGTCAGTACTTTACGATCCGCTTGTTTTTTTGACACTCTGTTGCTAAGTGTCTTGCCTGATATGTTTTCTCTTAGCTCATTATTATTAGCTGGAACTTTATCTTATGCTTGATTATTTTTGGAGCCGGTTATTTTATTATGTTTTAATCGGCCTACCTCTTTTTGCGTGAGTTTCTGTCTATTTAGCCTGATAAATAATCTGTACTAATCCGTTAAATCATGGGTAACTGAGACGATGGCGTGCATGTGATGCATGCAATATTATGAATATGTGGCGATGAACTAGCGCAATATTGCTTCATGGTCGCGAATTATGTATTAATTCCACGGGTTAATGTATTTCGAAGTTACCTTTTCTTTCCAGAGTAAACGGGTATACAACGCTTTTCATTAATATACAGGGTTTGGTCAGCTGGCTGGAGTCAGATTTTCAATTTGAGACAAGTCTACACACGCATACATTCGCACTTATATGTGTGTCACAGTTTTATTTCCCTGTAAATAGTCTGTAGGGTTTGCGAACTACCCCAGCGCTTTTCATGTAGCCCATGTTAGGTTTATAATGGAATAATGCAGGTTTGCCGAAAGATTCCATGCGTCAGCGTGAGAGTCTGAAAGCCTGAGTGTCACACCAGACGCGTGAGAGTTGGCGACCCAGAATATAGCACTTAGTACACAGGCAACAAATTTTACAGGGAGGTTATGGAGAGTATTTCATGTTATTTAAGCCACATACGGATGTTTAGTAGTATATGTTTTGGGAATGATTGTATTACACGTATTGTGCATGCACCGTACAATGGGCCGATATCTTTGTATAAGATAGATGGTTTTATGGACAGGTGACATTTTCTGTAGTATAATTATGAATTTGGCCAGGGAAGCATGTGATCACTACCGTGAGGCTAATGTGGCTCTGCATGTTTTTTTTTTTGTTTTTTTTTTGTGTCTCTGACATGCCTGCTCTTTAATATATTATTTTCTTAAAGGCTAATAATAATTAAATTGCGTGAAAACTGGTTGTGTGCCTTTTTGTGCCTTCTCAAATACTATGACAATGGTAAAATCAAGGACAGTATGCAGTCCTCACAGTGCATCTCTCTTGGTGCAAAGTTAGACTGCTAGCAAACAACTAATTAACCTCCAATGAAAAGCAAGGCATGACTCTTCTTGATATTTACAGAAAAAAATGATTTTGTTATAAAGCTAAACATGCAAACAAATAATGTACAGGACTATTACGAAAACATAGACTTAGTTAATATTTACATATTACATTGCATGCAGCACTAACTGAAAACCCATCCATCAGTCCATTTTCTGTAATCACTTGTCCCATTCAGGGACAGGGCAATAAACAGAATAAACAGAATACTGAGAGTACTGACTCTGCAAATTTTATTTGAAGTTTTCTACCCTAGCCCTGAATTGTTGTGAGATAAATATAGACTATAAAATACCACATAAAGTATACAATCCCGCACAGATACAATGTTAACCTGAGTAACAAAAAGTTAATGATAAGAAATTAATATCACAACTAAAAAGTTATGACACGTTAAATTTCCTTATTTCTGGCAAGCCCAGCTGTGCGAGATCTAAAGGTCAACATTTAGCTTAAATGTGCCCAGAGCTCACTGTGATCCCCGTCTCTGAGTCACAAGGACGAAATGGCCAGTGCCTGGGGGGCCAGAGGGGGAACCACGCTGCTGTAACTTTAATCTGCAGGAGGAACAGCAATAGAAATATGTCACATGTAAGCTAACAACTTTCTTAATTCATAAGTGATATATAAGTGAGTGCATATAGGAATTCTGTCATCGTCTCTTCCAGAAAACAATTTAAGTTTAGAAGATGCAAAGCCTGCATCACCTGTACTTCCCAACGATGACGACTACACCAAGAATGGCCAGTGACAGTCCTCCAACAGTCATGGCAGTAGTACAATCTCTGTTGGGAGCTAAAGGACAAAGCAGACAGGGTCAGTCTGTCCATTGCATATGGGTGCACACTAGGATTGATAATGCCATAGCTGTGAGTCTAAGCTTCGTTCTCCTTACCCCATGTCCTGGTGATGTTTTGGGACAGACTGCTGTGCTGTACCAAGCACGTGTAGCTCTGAATGGTCACACATCTCTGGTTTCCTCCCGATATTGTGAGTGTCTTCTTCAGCTGCAAAGTGCCATCTCCATTGGGCAAAACCTCACCACTGGTCACTCCCTCTACTAGGGGCAGCCAGCCATCTTTCTGCCACTCCACTTGCACCTCCCAGGGGTAGAATCCAGTCACATGACAAGTAACTCTTAAAAAAAAAAAAAAAGTCTTTCGTCTCATATAAGAAGACCTTTGGTTCTGTTTATAAAAAGAAAAAAATGTAGCTTAACTCTTATTTTGATGAAATAGGACACATCGAATCTAAAGAGCCTTTAGAAAGTTTTGAGACCTTTCAACTTTTTCCAAACTTTGTGTTGTGGAGTTTAAATTTGATTGAACTGATTCAGATGAAAACCCCTAGCCCATAACAATGAAATAGAAATATTTTTTAAAGATTTTTTTCAGTTTTAATTTTTTTATTGATTAGTATTAGCCAAACCACCTATAAATCCATTTCACTTAGCACTGTAGCCAATTAGGTATATACTTTGGGGGCTATTAGATGTAGGTAGGGCTGGACGATGTATTGAGTTTTTTAGATATATTGATATATTTTTATACGAGATTTAGGATGAGACAGTATCGTTTATATCGATACAGATTATGTTGCTTTAAAATTATACTTGTAGAGCCGCCAGTTTGCCACTTTCTCTTCTCCCAGTCTGTCTCTTGCACAACTGCACCCTGCCCCACCCCTCCCCCTCACTCACTAGTCCAGCATGCAGCGACAGCATGGAGACAGACACAGACACGAGGCAAACTAGCGAAAAGGAGCTGGTTGGTAAAATAATACATGCCGGTAGTTTATTTTTGAGCCATTTGTTGATGTCCATCTACGGCTGTCTGTTAATAAAAGTGCCTACGTGACATTGGGGACATTTGGCTTTGACTTGGAATTAACTGTCTATTTGTTATTATATTACGGGGAAAAATATCAAGTTGTCGAAAATATCGAGATGTGATTTTTTGGTCCATATCGCCCCACCCTAGATGTAGGTAGGTATTTATGTATATTAAATGATGATCAAACCTCAGTGTATGAAGTATAATTTCACATGTGATTGTGGATCAGCTATGCGTTTAACCAAAATGGAATGTTTCTTTCCCCGTTCCCTCTTGTAGACAGCCGCTGCTGGAATAATGGCGACCAAGGCTTTGCTCTACATACTGAAAGTCATAAATTCTCTGCCATTGCATGCATGTGTCAAAGAACCCTGACTTCGTCCATCTGGGTGTAGACCACAACGGCCATATCCTTGGTAGGAATGGATTTTTAATGGAGATTCTATAATATGATAAATGCAAGTATATCAGTTAAAACTGTAATATAGCTCTACATAGTACTACATTTAGGACAGTCGCATGATGACTCAAAATATGATTTCTTGCTTTACCTCCAGTTTGATTAATATGCTGGGAAACAACTTCCATTGCTTTTGCCATATTATTCTGGTTCAATATTGCTATGGTGTTATTGTCCTTCCAGTGCTGCTTCCCATCATGATTTTTCAGCCAATCAGGAAGGGGCACTCTAGACCTCGTTGTGCTATTGTAGGAAAACACTGTCACATTATCCATTGTGATGACTTCGAGATACTCAGTCCTTGTGACCCCACGAAATAAAATTCCATGGAGCAGACAGCTATGAAATATAACAGTTAACAGACACATTTGGCACCTCAGTAAACACAGGGAGTGGCAGAAACAGTTTGGTGAACTGTTTTGCACGTAATGGTTTTTGTGGTGATCAGATACATATATAGTTATGGGTATAAAACTATTACACAAGGAAACGACATAATCCAAGTGTTAAATGACTGAAAATTACGCCGAACGATAACAATTCTACAAGCTGCTTACGACAATTTCCAGACTGCTCACAAAAATATGAAAATTAATTATAAAAGTTGCAAATTATGGTGTCCCACATTTTATTATTGGCACTGGAGTTACTGGAAAACCGTTATAATTTAGGACTCTTTGACCACATAATGTGATTTACAACATAACTGAAAAAATAATTTGATTAGTTACTGCAGAATGAAACACCGTAAACATTTTGGTGTTGTCATAGAGATAAGCAACTGAGAACAGGAAATGATGTTGAAATTTACTGTTACAGGAAATAGGGAGGGTCTTGTGGTACACAGGCATCCATCTACACAGCATGCACATATTACATGCTATTAACACAGTGTTGCATTATCTAACCAACTACAGAAGTGACATTATTAAATACAATTATACCCAAAGGAGCATCAATATGTTAGATTTAACAGATGCTTTTGTCCAAAGCCATGTACAAGTGAGGATCAAAGATCTGTGTCAGCTACTGTCCCTGTAGCAACTGGAGTTAAGGACCTTGCTCAAGGGTATCACTCTGCCAGTCATGGGATTTGAACCAGTGACCTTCTGCTCGTGGCACGTAACCCATCTCTATACTGTCCCATTACGCAGCTATTCCTGATAAAGCATTTAAAGCATGAATGCATGATTATGCAGCTTTGGCCTCAAAAACATGCACCCAGTGTGATGACACATAGTCTCAGGGAAGGACCGTCATCAAGCACATTTTGCTTTGTGAGTATGCTGAAGTCAGCGATAGTTAGATTTGCTGTTTAACACCTTAAGTAGTTATCCCTAAACAGCTGAGAGCTGCTTCACTAAGAAACAACAAAACCTGAGTAGAATTAGCTTAACCTTACTGAATATTTCATTTGTGTGGCAGAACATTGGGACAGAAATTGGGCACTATTCTGCGTGAGGCCTGCAATGTCATATAAAAGGTACGGCCTTGGTACAGTTTTGTTCCTCTAGGATCAAGCAACATCAGTGTACCCCTAATGGTCCAAAAGTGTTCCTCAGAATCCATTTCTGTACCTTAAAGGTACATTTACCTACAGCTAGGTTACAATTGGCAGCCCCTTGATGGTGCAGCCCCAGAGAAAAGTATTTGTACCCTCAAAGGTACAAAATGGACCTTTTTTTTAACGGTGCGGCGATCTTTGAGGTAGTGTGACATTTCTTTTCAGTCTATTTCCATGCTATGATCTCATACCACCACATATTTGCAGACATGGCTGCATATCTGCTGACAGTCCAGCCTTCCACCACTTCTCCTTTTCGCTCGTCTTGCTCTCCCTTGTTGCTCGCCTTGCTCTTCATCTTGCTCTCCTCTGCATCTGTCTTTTCTGCAATTCCCACGCCTGTTGACCTCGGATTCTGAAACTGCCTAAGAAAAATGCACCTGTCCAAAATGACTTGTATGTTTTGACACATATTCGCGCATTCCAGTCCAAGGAAATGACCAGCTGTTGGGAGAGGTATGTAATCTGGCCTGCTGGTACAGTATCCATCTCCATTCCATAATTGCTTATCCGGTACAGAGTCACAGTGAGCTTGGAAGCCATCACAGGAAGAATAGGGTGCAAGACAGAGGATGTCTGGATGGGATGCAAGTCCATCAGAGGGTACTTACTCAGTAACTATGGGAAACTGAATTTCCGTTGGTCTTCCCGAGATCCAGGGTGACCCATTGCACTACATAGGAAACCCCAGGCTCCGCGTTCACCACAATCTTCTAGAACAGCTTTCGCAAGTTGCAGTTTCCGTTATGACACGAGGGTTTGTCTGGCTGAGCAGGAAGGGAGAGGAGGAGGAAGCGAAGAGAAAACGGGCTGACTTTAATGACAGCTTTCCTATCCCACTATATATAGAGATGCACAGGCACACACACAGACACACACGAGCACGCGGTGACGTGCCACGAACAGCGCCTGCCGAAACCCACAATGCACTGCGGTTCAGGGTTACGGCACACCCTCCGCACACTGCCGGCACCCTACTGAGTTGCTGTCTCTGTCGCTCCCCCTAACGCTGCCCCGCTATGGCGGAACTGGAGGGTCTGGAGTATGGGAAGTCAGACTTCATCCTCCTGGATGAGGTCACCATGGAGCATTTCATGGAGAACCTGAAGCTGAGGTGAGTTCTGGAAAGGCAAATGGAGTCGACTGAGGTCCTCTTTAGAGGCTTCTGAGGCTGTTGGGGTTCTTAGAAAAACCAGCGGCTTTTGGATTATCTGGGGGTTGCACTTTTCATAGAATTAGAGTATAAAGTGAATTTAAAAACACCGTTATGCAATTTGAGCCACGCCGGCTTCTTGTCTGCTTCTTCATTGAGGGGATCACAGGTGGGGAAGGTGGAAGTTTCGGTGACAGGAGGACAAAGAGACACTGAGTCACGCCGGTGGCTTTTGATGGCAAGGGAGTAATAACGACAGGCAGGATGACAAAAGTTCAGAAAGCTGAGCCCCCAGCTCCTCTCACGCGAATTCTACCGAGTGAACACACATGTATGTATGTGGCAGATGCCCGCAGATACACTGATTTCTCTATCAATGTTCTGCTTGTGGGTGTCAGAGCAAACTGCCCAAAGATGGGCAGATGCCCCCAGAATTACGCAATCAAGAACTGATACCCCTTCAGCCTGTTACACTCTGAAAACTGGGGGGGGGGAAGTCCTGTCTTATGGAGACCTCTGCTACTCACTGGGAACTTTCCACTTTAACCATTTATATGGGCAATGCAAAGGGTGTGTGTGGACGCTGTCTCAAAATGAAGTGCTGCAAACATAATGAGTTCATGGTATAAGTTAGTCACCTCAAATGATGTGTTTGTGTGCAGTCAGCTGACGTTTGATGCCTCATAATGATTACTGGGTACTTTGAGATGTCACTGTTGTTCGTGCTTTCCTTCAGTTATGATGTACCCTCTATTTGTGTGGCATACCTCAGGTCCTCAGCTGCCCGTGGTGCCAGATCCTTGACGCTCATATATATTGCTCATTAAACAGGAAAGGCTCACAAATAGTCCCCAAAACCAAGCTGACTCACCCTGAAAGTGAAGCTTCTCTTTTGGTCTCTATATTTTCATCCTTTGTTGGACACGTCTTCCGCTAGCGTGTTCACATGACTGTGAATACTGGCCTCCTCTGCATGTTTGTCTGTTGGTTCATGTGTACTGTGCGTGACAGGCCTTGTTAATGCATGTGTGTTCAGGCTGACATGACGCTTAAGGTAAATATAGTTTTTTGCCCCCCCCCCCCTCATGATTTGGTGTACGCTTGCTGCTGTATTCAGTCCTGTTCTGCTCGGTCACATCACTACTGGAAAGCCCCTGACAGACCCACGCTCTGAAGCCTTGTGAAAAAAATTATCTTTCACTATCCCATGTGCTCGGTTACAGAGATGACATGATAATCCATATGTGCAAGTTTGAGTGACTTTGTCCACCAGCTTTATTTGCTGTGTTGATGGTTTAGACTGAAACATAAAAAGGGCTAAGCTTTGGTGTGACAGCTCAGATTAGGACGGGGTGTGGCCTGTGGTACTCTCAGCTATTTCAGTTTAAAGGAAGTAGCATGTCTCTGTAGGTCTGATTCTTGTTCCCCACCTTGAGAGCTTCCGGCGGCTTCCGTGTGAGTTTACGGGTAGAGCAGTAGGGTGGGTGTTGTGTTGGTGCAGAATATAGCCAAGAGTGATGGCTCTTCTGAATAGCGGAGGGTCTCTTCTGGGAACGAATGACACTCACACGCAGCGTTAATGCACCATAAGCGGGGACGTGCTCCCTACCTCAACACCAGTCGCCTCCATCTCAGAGAAGAACACATCTAAGACGTATTTGGTGACTTCTGAGGGTTTTCCAATCTTGTATGTAAGCTTTTGTATGGTAAGCGTTTAAGACGAGGAATCATTGCTGTTTTCTGAATTTTAGCTGGTATCTTTTTTTAAATTACGTAACCAAAGTGACATAATTCTCTAGGTGATGTATTAATCATTTTTTGCACAGCCGCTGTGCATATTTCTCAGGCTGAAATTCTGTGTACCTGCTGATATATTTAAGCACATTATCTCTCTGCATCCGCCAACTTACATGTAAACATACCGGCATCACATTTACACACACTTACAGTCATTTGGTTGCAGGACCCCTGCTGATAACAAAACCCGCAGATGCTAAAGTCCCTTATATAAAATGTCGCAGTACTTGCATATAACCTATGCACATCCTACCGTGTACCTTACATCATCGCTAGATTAATTATAGCACCTAATACAATGTAAATGCCATTTTAACACTTCTTATATTTTATTGTTCAGGAACAATGACAGGAAAAAAAGTTTTTACAAGTTCAGTACAGATCCAATCACGTGGAGTCTGAGTAGCATTTTGCAGGTGGCATATTCAAGTTTTGCTTTTTGTATTTTTGGTACTTTCTAGATTATTCATCCACGGGTGGTTGGATCCATGGATGCGCAGCACCTGGATATGAGGTGCTCGATTATTTCTTTGTTGTGACAATGCTTCTTGTCAATAAATCTTATACCCTTGGAAAGCCTGTTTATTTCCCTTTTAAATGGTGCCACATTTGTAAGGAAAATACATTTGTGGGCTGAGCAGCAGAGTTGAGTATGTGGGTTGCGCCCATGAAAATTTGCCAAATCCTCTCTGTCAATGACAAACAGCTGATTCTGCATTGGCTCTTGTTTGGTGTCATTTAGTGGACTGGATGATTGAAGTCTGAGAAACAAAACATATTGGCAATTTAACAATTTATTCATTTAACAAACAGGAGCGTGTGGAAGAACCAGACACAGCCACAACAGCTTGGCACCTCCTCCTGCTGGGCACCAGCTTGGTCACACAGTGCTGTGGGATGGCATCCCATTCTTCAACCAGCATTTTTCTAACAAATGTGGCACCATTTCGAAGGGAAAGAAACAGATTTATTGCCAAGAAGAATTGTCACAACAAAGAAATAATCGTCCAAACACAAATTTCCTTACTATTTTTGCTAAATTTATGCACAGTACTACAAAAAGTCTTGGGCAGTGAAAGAACATGATGTTTAAATGATCGTCATGTTGATGTAGAATTATGGTATTATGTCTCTCAAAGGGTGCTTTTCCACCGCATAAAGTACGATACTTTCGGTACAGTACTTTCGTTTTTTCCATTGACTTCCGGTCAAGTGCCAGTACCGAAAGTTCCGAAAGTTCCAGTACCGAAAGTGCCAAACCAGCTGGGGTACTTCTTTGGTACTTCAGTACTTTGAGGTGGGACTTGCAAACGTATTTGCTGTTGATTGGTTATGCAAAGAGACTGCCGCTGAAACACAAAATACAACCGCCATCTGTTGAAACACACAGTGAACAGTGAGAAACAAAATAAAAAGCATTAGAAACAAAAATATTAAAAAAGTAAAATGGAAGGATGGACAAACGAGGAAATACAGGCTTTAATCGCCATATGGTCGGATGAACAGATCCAGCGGGATTTCGATGGCATGATTCGAAATGAAAAAGTTTGTCGTAATAGCAAGCCGCTTGGAAGAAATGGGGCACACGCGAAACACCGAACAATGCCGCTTGAAAATCAAAAAACTTAAGCAGGACTACAGGAAAGTGAAGGATCGTAATAACATGTTTCAATTCAGCCAAAGAAATACCGCGCAGCGCTTTGTGATGATGTCAGTCAGGGGCAGTCACTGATGATGTCATTTGGCGCCAGTACCAGTTTTTACGCCAGTGGAAAACCGACATAAAAGAAGTACCATACTTTTGGTACTGGTGCGGTGGGAAAGCGCCCAAAGTGTGTCAACTTAGCCATTTCAAAACCTTTGGTAAAGTCACCCCAGGATTTTCAGCAACCATCCAACCCTAACCATGGATTTTTTGACTCAACCACTACACTATCTTGTTTGGCTAATTAATACCTCATTGTGTTATTTAACTAATCTAATTAATGAAATTAACTGAAGTGGTGTTCAACTAGCCATCCAGCTAGATACCAGTACATTTTTTGAGAACAGAAGAAATTCTGTTGCATCACCGTTAATTTGAATATATTCTACTGTTGATTTGTTTTCTATAACTTGTTACCAGATGAATAGCTTATATATGAATAGCTTATATATATAAGTCAAATGAAAGAAGTTTCCTTTATAACATGGACAGAGTATGTAACAGTGCATGTCTGACATCCTATTAACTGGTTGTGTGGTGATGGCATAGTCAAATTCTAGGCTGTACTTTAACTTTAAATGCACTAGTTAACTGTTTCATCCAATGAAACAGAGCAGTATTTAATGTATCTTGTAGAAAGAATTTTCTCTGCTGTTATAACTGCTAGAGGAGGTTACTTTGATGCATCAAAGATATGATATTTTCTTGCTAATAAAGGTACTTCAAATAGTGAAAATACTGTAAATTTATTTGTTAGCAAAGAATATTGAGTGTATTTTTAGTGAATGTCAAGTGAATAACATGCAAATGTAGAAAATTTTATCTCAGTGCATGCAAAAACTTTTGACTGTTAGTGTGTATATACAGCCAAAGAAAATATGTATCTATTAATAATTGTCCATTCACTGCCAGTGACTGTAAGAAAGACAGCTGGGCTATTGATCATAAAGTGCACACACCACCACTGAAATATTCATAAAAAAATTCAGACCGTACATAAATCTGAAAAATGGGTGTTGTTCGCTTTTGTTGAAATTAGATATGGCAGCTGGAAAACTGAATAAAGTTAATTTTATCGCGGTGCCAGCGTAAAGGTTTAAGCCCAAACCCACTGTCGTGTATCCCTCCCTGATATTCTCCATTGCTGATGTATACATGTATGGAAATGGAATTTCAACACCGCAGTAAAGTTAGCTTTATATTCAGTTTTCTGGCTGTAATATCTTTCAATGTGTTTTTTTTATATATATATTTCAATGTTTGTGTGCGCACTTAATGTTCAACAGCCCATCTGTCTTGCTTATAGTCACTGGCAGTTAATTAGTATAAATACATGAGTATAAAAACACAAAATATAAACACATGGTAGTATGCATTGTCCCCCATAGTTTAATACGTAAAGCACATCTAATAGGACAAGTCTGTATCACTTATACTTATTAGTCAATAAATAGGCCAAAATTCCATGTTTTTTATTTCAAACGGACACAACACAGTTATTAGTGTATTGCGAGATCTCGCAAATGTTTATCTTTTTTTTCCCCTCCCATGTCCCCTCCCGGGATCCGTGACATATCTGCATTTTAAAATCCAGATTTAATTGTGGATCTGCTAGCAGAAAGCTATGCTGAGCAGCAGGTTGCTTCCATCTTCAAAATTTTTAAGACAGTAATACACAAGAATAAGGTGAAGCAGGAGACACTGGGAATGACCAGAAACCAGCCAGATAGCGGGTGGAAGGGACTTTCTAATGCCAAAGATTAATTGGAGGATGTCATTAAGTGACCTTCAAAAGGAATGGGAAACATTAAGTGCAGGTGTGAAGCGCACTGTTCATAATCAGTCTCCTAGAAGCAGGACTGAAGTCCCATAAAGCAAGGAAGAAGCCCTTCATTAATGAAAAACAGAAAAATATATATTATTCACAGACGCACACCCATAAATTGAGAAATGAGTGAAACAAAAAATTGTGCTGTGCTCTCAATTTTTTCTGCTGCTGTGTATGAGCATAATGTACACATAATGAGCATAATGTACACTGCAAAAAATATTTCCTTCTTCCAATAAAAAAATTTCTAAAGTAACTGATTACAGTGGTACTTTTGAGTTTTCCCAACATTTTAATGACTAATTATAGTAATCACATCTAAATTAGAAGGAAATGCTGTACTAAATCAACTGCAATCAAGTAATACAGCCAATAACAGTTAATGGATGTAGCATTAATTACATTATTATGTCAACACCGTGTGTAGTTGTCATACATAAACAACTATGTTGAACAGACAGCTAAGTTGAACAAATGATAAACTTCTTATTCGGCCAATTAGCCTATTTATTTTGGGTAAACTCAAAAGGAATAATATAATCACTACTCTTGTTCTACAAAAAAAACGAAGGATTCTGGTGGGACAACTCTATAATTAATATTTTGAAACCACTGCAATCGAGGATTGTATGCCACGGATATTAGTCTCTACTACATTTTATTGTTGGTTGTTCTTCATTTCCTTCTAATTTCGATTTGATTACTACAATTAGTCACTAAAATTATGGGCAAACTCAAAAGTGCTTCTGTAATCAGTTACTTAAGAATCTGTAACTGGAAAGAGGATTTTTTTTTTCATTGTGTTTCCATACACACATACGTATTAAAAAGATAAAACCCAAACACAGTATCTAAAAATCATTCTCAGTGAGTGTTAACAGCAGAAGCAGACCTGCTCCATGTGCATATCAGGTTGATTAAAAAATAAATAAATAAATATAAATAAAACAACTAAAAATAGTCTATAGTTGATGGGATTTGTTCTTTATCTAGTTACTATCCAGCCCGCAGGTACTAATTCCACCTCCTATGGGTCTATGAATAATAATGTATCAGGAAGTATTCACTTGTACGCTTATTTAAACATCTCTTCTCATGGAGGCACAAAAGTGAAAATAAGTGATTTGGGAGAGGCAGAAGTTGTCACACCTCATCTGGAATTCCCTGCAGGCTGTGCCTTTCTCAGGCAATGAAGATACTACTTTTCTGGGTTGTACTTAAACGGTTTCATGTCATTATACACTATATCCTATACTCGTGAATAACCCAGTTAAAAAGCTGAAGGTGCTCTGCAGTAATTCATGTTCTCTTCCTCTTCCTGCAAGAAGCTCTTCCTGGGGGATGATGCTGTCTCCCTTTCTGCTCCTGTTCATTGATGGTTGTAAATGTTCTGCTACCTTCGGAGGTTTATATGGCTGTGCTTGTATGTGTCCCTGGGCAGGTTTGAGAAAGGCCGCATCTACACCTTTATCGGGGAGGTTGTGGTGTCCGTCAACCCTTACAGACAGCTGGACATATATGGGAAGGAGGCCGTGGAGGCCTACAGGGGCCGGGAACTTTACGAGAACCCGCCTCACCTGTTCGCCATGGCCGACGCCGCGTACAAAGCCATGAAGATGAGGGCCAAGGACACCTGCATTGTCATCTCAGGTAGGGTAACTTATGTATCCCGTCATCTGACACGCTCGCTTACCTTGAACCAGAGAGAGTTAAGGCTGAGAAGCGTGCTCTATGATTACAATAACAGACAGAACGGGAAGAGTGACCATAAAGGAACCTGAAATTTGTAGCCAGAACATCAGATTTATTAATGAAAAAACCTGATCAGGTCTTCTCTGAATGATTCAGGATACAGACAAGACCATAACACACTCTCACCAATAAGTTCTCTCTCTTCTTTAATAATATTATGGTTAGAAAAACCAGCCTTATGTCGGCAGTATTGTACCTATAATAAAGCTACTAGCTGTTTAAAGGCTAAAGTGATGGCTGACTCTAGCTAACAGACTTACTTCCTGTCACTATATGCCATAGTGTCTGTCAGCCTGCTCCCCAGCAGCAACAGAGCACAATCAAGAAGGTTCTTTAAGCGGCAACAAAGCACCTAGGAGATAATAGTCATGCAGATCACTTGAACATGTTGCACTAGGAGATGCTGACAGCCGGTTTGGTTCTTCAGGTGAGAGTGGTGCTGGAAAGACTGAGGCTAGCAAGTACATCATGCAGTACATTGCTGCCATCACTAACCCTAACCAGAGAGCAGAAGTGGAGAGGTGAGAGACGGGGCCACGACTGAAGGCTGCAGCGATGTCTTTCACTCCCCCTGTAAGTCAGTGTGTGTCCATGTAACACCAATGTTCACAAACTCCCCAACAACACAGCGTGAAGAATGTGCTGCTCAAGTCTAACTGCGTGCTGGAGGCTTTTGGCAATGCCAAGACAAACCGAAACGACAACTCCAGCCGTTTTGGCAAATATATGGATATTAACTTCAACTTCAACGGGGATCCCACCGGAGGTCACATCAACAACTACCTGCTGGAGAAGGTCAGCAGCTCACGTATCAAATAACTGGGAAGTTTCAGTGTTACGAAAAGAGGTCTGACCACACAGTGGTCAAAGAACCACAGAGAGAAACAGCACTAAGAAGGGCCGGGTGCAACTGAACACGCATCTCAGTGGGTATGCATGCATGCCTTTCCGTGCTGAGTGAGCTAATCTCTGTCTTTTCTCCCAGTCGAGGGTTGTGCAACAGCAGGAAGGAGAGAGAAACTTCCACTCATTCTATCAGGTAAGAGCGGAGTACTCTGGATCCATAGGGGCGAACAGACAGTGCCTTCAGTAACATTCTCTTTTTGTGTTTGTGACCTACACAGCTGCTGAGAGGAGGCTCTCAGGAACTGATCAAGTCCTTGTTCTTGGAAAAAAATCCTGCACTTTACGTCTACACTAGTGAAGGTGCCGCTTCCATAGTGAGTCTCTCCTTAGCGAGTTGCCCAGGGTAAAATTTCACAGCACCGTAAATGGATATCTTTGCCTAGAGTAGAGCCAACTGATGGTTAACTGTAGCAAAAAGGAGCTCTTGTTTACAGACTTGTCGAGGGGGGGCTGCAAATAACACCATCTGCCCCTCCACCAGACCAGCAATGATGACCACTCCTCCCACAAGGCTGTGCTCAATGCCCTGAAGGTGATCGGCTTCACACCCAATGAGATTGACTCCATCTACAAAATCCTGGGGACTATTCTGCACCTGGTCAGTAATCTGTAATCTATCGGCGGTCATGTCAGCGAGTTTAAATCAACCTCATTTTCAGGCTTTTCTAAAACATCTATTAATGTTTAGACCCGGGGGGGGGGGCAATCTTATCTGCAGAGGGCCATGTGTATGCAGGTGTTTTAACCTTTAGGTCAGCTGTTCAAACCCAGGTGTCAGCCAATCAGTCAATTAGTAATTTAATTAGAGAGCTGCAACTAAAACCTACACGTCTAGTGGCCCTTTTTGGATTGTCGATCCCTGGTTTAGACTAAAGTTGTGATGAACAATATTTGGACAAGAGATGTAATGTAGCGTCACACAGTCCTGTTACTATGGATGTCTGGAGAGCTGGTGTTCTGACTAGAAAAACCTCCAGGGGAATGAATGTGATCTTTGACTTTAGATCTGGAGGTTGAGGGGCTAGCAAGCCTGTACATGAATTTATTTTTCTTCCCCATTCCAAACTAACAATTTGATCCTAAGTAACTGAACCAAAACCAAGACTGTGTTTGTGTGTCTCTTCAGGGGAACCTGGAATTTACTAGCGAAGGGGAGAATGTACAGGTGTCGGCGAAGGAAGCTGCTGAACATATCGCTGTTCTGACCAGCACCAAGGCTGCTGACGTCAGCAAGGCCCTGCTGTTCCGCACCGTGGCCACCGGGGGCGGGGAAGTCATCAACAAGGGCCACAGTGTACAGGAGGCCAGTTACGGCAAAGATGCCTTTGTTAAGGTAGACCATCTCAGGACCCCGAGGGTTTCGTGCTCGCAGATATCCATCATGGTTAAAACACCACCTTCAGCTAACAGAGCATCACTTGGAAGCCAGCACGCTAAACCTTATCAGTCATTCTTGATCTGGATTCCTTCCATGTGCATCTGCTTCAGAATATTACTTTCATGTCATCTAATTTGTTCTGGCATTTTCCATTTTTTTCCCAAATTTGTAACGTTAATTTCTTGACCAGAATCTGATTCTGTCCTGCATATTGTTTACTGCTATTGCTGTAACCCGGGGATCAGCGACCTGCGGCTCGCCAGCCAAATGCCGCTCTTTAGGCTGCAGCTCTTCTCAGAATGATAGACGCATTCACATTTTCATTATGATGATACTTTATTTATGGGTTAATATTAGTATTTTTCATTTAGATATTTCTTTAGCTATATGTGAATGCGGCAGTTCATCGCGCGCTTCTGTGTTGTCTTAACTGCATAATTTACATCTTCCTCAAAGTCATTCTCTACGGCATGAGTAAGCCTTCGGTCAAATGGCATGTTTTCCAGAGTTTTCTTCAGTGTCCGAGATTGGATGTAGGCTTCAAAGTTTATTCGGATTCCTAATTGTTGCTTACATCTTTTGTAGTAAATCGTCACCACGCCTTCCCAGGTCTTCGTAAAATCGTTATATTTTCTCCGATTTACATATTATAGCCAGCTGAGTTAGCGGCTCTTTGTACATGTTTTGTCAGACATTTAGGATAAAATGGCTCTTTGCTTTAAAGAGGTTGCTGACCTCTGCTGTAACCGCATCCCAAGTTAAGCTGCTTGGGGCAGCCATCTTACAATGTGAACATAAAAGAGACTGAAGTGAATCTGAAGTTCGCTCTCGACGAGGCGTGTCTGGGTGTGGGCAAGGGGAGCGCCTGGGCTTCACTGTACCTCTCCCACAGGCCCTGTACGAGCGACTCTTTAGCTGGATTGTCAGTCACATCAATACAGTGATCGAGGTGAAGGACTACAACCCAATGCTTCATGGGAAAAACACCGTCATCGGTGTGCTGGACATCTATGGCTTTGAGATCTTTGACAATAACAGGTATCCCACTTGCCATACATGTACCTGCATGACACCTGCATGACAGATGTTTATAATGTGTGTGTGTGTGTGTGTGTGTGTGTCTGTGTATACGAGCGGGTGAGTGTGTGTGTATCTGTATATATATATCATATGTTTCATTGACTTAGGAAATTCACAGCCACTGACACTTTAGTGAGCGAAACATCCCCACAGCTTCGTTTGTGCATGTCATACCTATTAAAAATGGAACCAGCTGTTTAACAGTGTGGACGTGTCGCGTGACTCTGGCTGACCAACTTCCAGCTTCGAGCAGTTCTGCATCAACTACTGCAACGAAAAACTGCAGCAGCTCTTCATCGAGCTGATCATGCAGCAAGAGCAGGAGGAGTACAACAGAGAAGGGATCCCCTGGCAGCAAGTGTGTCCCCCCCCCACACACACTCATACAGAGAGATATGCATACACGCTCCACCCCCCTCACAAACACACGCATGCAGACATGCGGACCAGTGTGCGCATGCATGTGAAAGACCATGATTCTATATACACTTGTACATCCAAACAATTTCTTCTAATTACACATGTACACACGTACACGAGTGCACTTTTCCACACCCATTGGATACATAAGCACATACAGCACAAACACACTAGTTGTGTCAACTGTGCAAATCACCTGCTTTCATCAGCCGAGCACACACTCATATTTAGCTGCTCACACCGTGAACTGGAGCCCCTGTGTTGTCCTGCAGATTGAATACTGTAACAACCAAATCATCGTGGACCTAGTGGAGGAGCCACACAAGGGCATTATCTCCATTCTGGAAGAGGCGTGTCTGGGTGTGGGCAAGGTGACCGACACCATGTTCCTGGAGAGCATGGACTCCAAGCTGAGCCAGCACCCCCACTACACCTCCCGTAAGGTATGAGCAAGATGGTACTTAGAACAGTCGGAGTAACTAAGCTCAGCTGGAGATTTCTTCATGCTTACTCAAATCTGCCTCCCCCTTGAGCCTCTCTCCCTCCCGTCACGAGTTACTACAATGGTTTTAGGGTGTTGTGTAATGTTCATCATTGCTTTTCATTTGTGTTCATGGTGTTGAGCCCTGACTCTGCCATTTCCCTGCAGCTCTGCCCCACGGATAAAAGCATGGAGTACCGCAGAGACTTCCGCATCCGGCACTATGCTGGGGATGTCACGTGAGCAGAGCATGTTTGAGTGTGTTTGTGTCGTTCATTGTGGGGGACTGATGGGACCCCTTGCTCAGAGTCTGTCCCACAGCGTAGCTGCCTGACAGACATACTATCACTTCCTGTAAAAACCCAGCCTTCCCATTTCACTGTGTCTATGACCTACTTTCTCCCCTCCTCCGTAGCCGTACTTTTCCTACTCTTGCAGTACACCATTATCTCTAATAATCAACCAAAGGGGGGTAGTGGCAATGTTAAAGGTCGGACACTTACTCTACACCATACTTTCTAGTACTCCAAATGTACTTAGTAACATGCTCTCTAATACACTGTTCCCCCAGCCATGCGCACCTACTTTGCCTTGTACTTCCGTTTTTTTAACCACACATTAATCACTTCCCACCCAAGCCCTGAAACAAACCATGCATAAATCACGCTTGTGTTCTCTCGCCTGCAGTATATAGAAAAGCCTGTATTCATCTTTCCTCTTCTTTCTTTCTCCTTCAATGATTCAGGTACTCAGTGGAGGGCATTTTAGACAAGAACAAAGATCCACTTTTCCAAGATTTCAAGAGGCTTATGTATAACAGGTACTGTGTGAAATGAAAGGCACACAAACGGTTAAACGCACACAAACACACCCAGATCTCCTGGAGCAAACACCCTTATGGTTACACACAGTCACACCTGACACATGATCTGGCTCATAAACTACCTCCCAGCTGTGGTTCAGTGGAGAGAGACTTCCTGGGTGACACCTCTTGTCCTCCTCCACACATCTGCTGCATCCTCTTCTTCTTTCTAAGGATTTACCCCCTGTAACCTCTCTCTTTGTAAAACCTCAACACCATTTCTTGTGTTGCAACCCTTCGCTCCAATAGTACGGACCCTGTGTTGAGGGACATGTGGCCAGAGGGTCGGCTCAGCATCACCGAGGTCACCAAACGTCCCCTCACTGCAGCCACGCTCTTCAAGAACTCCATCATTTCCTTGGTGGACAATCTAGCCTGCAAGGTCCGTGTGTCTGTGTGAGTGTGTGTGTGTGTGACTGTGCGTGTTTGTACTTCTGTGGTTTGCATATTATAACTGGGAGGAAATAAATATTTTTTGGGTCACAATCGGGAGCAAGATGTCTTCTTTTGGGATATCTGTGCTGGAACACCCTACTTTTTGAAGAAGCAGGCTAAAACGATGCTGGAGTATGTGTGTCTTTATCACAAACACCTGGCTCTGTAGTTCTCAAACTTTTTTCCTATCATAGGTGCCGTATTATGTTCGTTGCATCAAGCCTAACGAGATGAAGTCGCCAATGTTGTTTGACGACGCTCGGTGCCAACACCAGGTGGCATACCTGGGCTTGCTGGAAAACGTCAGGGTTCGAAGGGCAGGGTTCGCCTACAGACAGCCCTACGATCGCTTCCTGCAGAGGTCGGCCTCAAATCATCTCACCAAATGACTATTTCGGGTTTAAAATGGGTTTTGTATGCTCTTCTTCTAAAAATGGTGGTTATGTTGTGCACAACCTTCTGCAAGGGCATAATTAGGTTAGATATTTTTTATAAACAAGTTGATCACCATCACAGGAAAGTGGTTGAAAATCTAGTAAGTCATAATATTAATGATTGTTACTTATTTATAACAGTAGCAGCAGTTCATTTTTGCCATGCAAAAGATATTACTATTTTGTCGTATTCCTTTAGCATATTATTCATACATTGCTCACAGAAGGTCTTGGGATGCTTGCTTGATACTGTAATAATGTTGCATAATTATTGGTTTCATTACAAAAGCCCGTTGACAAGCATTGTAATGTATCAGCAGTTATTTATTGAACAGATATTTTCTTTTTATTAAGCGCTATAATGTTTTTCACTGGCTCATTCAGGTCTGTTCTTGCCAATCAGTGCTGTGCTATTAATTGCAATTATAGTCATTTCCTCCCAAAGGGAAACACTACACACCTGTTTGGTGTTTTATGTTATTTCAAAGGTACTAATAATTACAATGCACCAAATGATGCATCTTATCTTTATAATTCAGAACAGCTCTTTTAGAAGTATAATTTGGGTTTCAACGTATTACTACTTGAAATTAATGTTTTTCTTTTAAAGTTCCAGTTGTTTCTAATATTATATATTTTTCATAAACAAATGAATGAAGTAATGATTTTTGTTATAAAACCAATACGTCTGCAGTATTTTTACTGAATTGAATAAGCACCCACAGACCTTCTGTGAGCTCTGTATATACAGCTGTAGGTAGGTAATCCCTTCAGAGTTCCTTATCATTTCTTTCTTACAGAACTATGTCTTAGCTGTCATATTTTTACACGGTTGCCAGGTACAAGATGACCTGCGAGTATACCTGGCCCAACCACCTCATGGAGTCGGACAAGGAGGCGGTGGAGGCCATCGTCAGGCAGCACGGCTTCAGCGAGTCCGTGGAGTATGGCCACAGCAAGCTGTTTGTGCGCACGCCGCGCTCACTCTTCACGCTGGAGCAGGAACGCAACGCCCTCATCCCCATCTTGGTGCTCTTCCTGCAGAAGGTAAGCAGGGCAGCAGGCCAGCATCCTTCCCGCCATGGGACAGAGTGCCGGTCTCTCTGTCTCACTCTGTTCACACATTTAGACTCCTAGCTTACTTTAAGGTCATGTGACCTGCCTGCTTTTAGTCTTGTTTGTATGCTTCAAAGAACAACATGCCAGGTTAAACTTGAACATGTAATTGTCTCTGTATGTTGTTACAGGCTGTTAAGTTCAGTCGCTAAAGTAATGAAATGGAGTACAAATATAACTACAGTGGTACCTCAGTACTCGAACTCATTAGAACTCGAATTTCTTAAAAGTCGAACCAACCAGTTCGAAAAAAATGACCTAGAACTTGATCTGAATCTCAGAAGTCGAACTGTGAACGCCGACCTAAGATAACTTGTACTCGCGGGGAAATGAGTCACGCGGCACGTCTCTCAGCGGAAACAAAGGGTAACGCTTCAGTCTCAGCCACGCATTCACTGCGATAGCATCGTTTGTTGGTGATAGTGCTTTTTTAATTGAAAATATCAGGTAATACACTGTACTTTATATCATTTTGGTAGCCATTGCTCACCAAAAAGTTACGCAATAGTTGTACAAATGTTACAACCTTTTAGGATTCAAACCCGAGTTCTGAATGGATTAAGTTCGAGTTCTGAGGTACCACTGTATATTTGGGCTCATTAAGACTCATACAATGTACTCTGTAAAAGTCATAAGCAAAGAATTTTTTAATTAAGCTTAATGTTGGTGCAAGGCTGTGATACTATTTCTGTAAAAGTATGTTATATTAGCCATTTCAAAACTACAGTAGCCCTGAAAGCAACATTTACACAATGCAAAAAACATAAAGACGACACAAAAACATCAAGACAAAAACTTAAGCAAATTTAATTTTTAAATGTGTTGTGTTCACTTAATGTTTTTTGGTTTTCGAAATGGAAGTGCTCCATGCCACAAGGGGGCAGCATTCAACTCTCAATATCATGCTTCTGACACGGTGTCTATGGTAGCTGATAAGTATCAACATGCTATAAATTTAGAGAACACTTACCCGTGTGTTAAATAAGTTTTAGCTTTAGATTATTTATGAATAGAAAAAAACCTTAACCTTGTGTTTTGAGAGCAGTGTGATAAACAGACTAAAATGAGTCTGTTAGTGGACATAGTTATCGCTGTGAATGTCATTGCTGCTTTATTTAACCCATGTAACAGATATAGGTCATTTTTGTCTGTTTTATGACACTGCTTTAAAAACATAAGGTGAAGGTTTTTTTCTGTTCATTAACAAAATAAATAGGGGTTTCAAACTCAAATTGCCTGGGGGCCACTGGCCATGTGATGTTCCCCCAAGGGGGCTGCGTGAGAAATAATATGGAAAAAAAAATATTTTTCAGCTTGAAATTTGTAATTTATATAATTTAATATAATAATTTATATTAACTATATTCAGGACATTCTGGTGACCTGGTCAGTTTTGTTAATTGCTTACTACCAGAAACCTGGCAGTGCTCCTGCACGAGTAACTTTTGCATTGATAGTTGACACTGGACACTGAGGACGGCCCGTACACGGATTTATTCGGGTTCATAGTGGAGAAAAGTTTCTCACAGAGATATGTGCTTCCAAACAGACACGTTACACGCTTGAACTGTTTGGACAACTCTAGCAAGGAAGAGGGTAACTCTCTCAGAAATTGTGCAATCATGTGTGGGTATCCGTTTGCATTTCTAAAATTTGCTTTGAGGTCAGTGCTCCGCTGTAGGTCTATAAGCTCCATCTGAAGTGTGCTTATCGGTATTTTTCACTACGGTTGAAATGTTCTGAAAGATAGATAGACAAACTGCAATCATTTTACCAAGTTCTATAATGAAAAACCACAAATATAATTAGCAGTAATTATGCACACTTTTTATTTGCATAAACATTAAAATAATACAGCAGCCAATGTAAACATGAAAACCAGTTAAAATATTTACTGAACTTCAGACCAATACAAATAATGCATCACATCGTAGTTACGCTGGAAAATCTATAAAGAAGAAAAGTGGTTCTGTTACAAAAATATACAAATACAAACATACATGGAATTCATTCTTAGCGAATGGGTATTCAGCTAGCCCTAAGACTGAGGCAAAAAAGTGCCTACTGCACTGCACCACACACGAAAGCTCCACTGCACTGCACTGCACCACACACGAAAGCTCCACTGCACTGCACCACACACGAAAGCTCCAGTTTACGTTATTGACAAACTATAAGTAAGGTAAACAGACAAACCACAACATTTCCCCCCAATTCTGTAATTCCAACATCATGCATTGAGCTAAAACTTAACTTACCTGGCATTCGCTATAATATAATATAATATAAACCCAGAATACGATCACACCAGACTTAGTCCTCTTAAAAGGCCGAAAAACTCCAGAGCGCTGTAACTCCCTTCTTTTACTGGCACAAAACAAACCCATATTGCATGCTGTGCCTGCGTGTTTACATCTGGAAGACCGTTGCTACTTTGGTTGATGCTTGAGAACTTTTTCAATGTGCGGTAATGAACCATGGTTTTAATGAGAATTTAAATTTGAAATGGTAATACTAAGCATCAGGATTTTACTGTGAAACTAGTAACCATCTCATCCCTAGCACAAAGTGAAGACTGATTTGAGGGCCAGATTAAATCGTATAATAAAAACATGTCTCAGCCCTTACAGGCTTGCAGGCCGAATGTGGCCCACGGGCCGGGAGTTTGAGACCCCTGATCTAAATCTAAAACCAGCTCACACAGTGTTTTCAGAATTTGCAGTGTGTCAGTACTAATCAGCTACCATATAGGTATCAGATATCACATAGATCGAGGCGCGATATTGAGAATACTGCCCTCACTGCACGCAACACTTCTGTTTTGAAAATCACAAGACATTAAGTGAACACAACACACTTAAAAATTAAATGTGCTTAATTTTGTGTCTTTATGTTTTTGTGTCTTTTTAATGTTTTTGCATTGTGTTAATGTTGACATGCTCTGGGCCTTCCGGGCCACCGTACAAAACCTCTCTTTAAGTCACCCCAGTGTTTGCAGTGTCCAGTATACCCATGTATTTGTTCTTTGACTCAACCACTAGCACATCATGTATGACTAGGGTTACCATATTTGGTGAAACACAAAACAGGATGCTCTGTCGCTCGCAAAATGCCACAAATAGAATTAAGAATGGCTTCTACATCTGTCATGCAAACAGCCATAGTTGTAAAATATGAGCAATTTGTAATAAGAAATGAAGAAAATTTGTATTTTCAAAAGTTACAAAACTCTAGGCTAAAGTTTGCTAAACTTCGAACAAATGATGCGATTCAGTGTTCATATGAAAACAAAAATTGTCTCAAAGTGACAATGGTTTCTGGAAGCTGACGTCACTCGTGAGCAGCGTGACACATAAGGATGTACATTTTAATCTTTAAAGCAGATGTGTACACGAGTCTTGCAAATGCTGTGTGATGATACTGAGTGGCTGCCATATATTGAAAATTGGTGCCTTTTCACTTACACTCGATACTCCATTGTAACTTGCAACACTGGGTCATACGGGTTGCAGCGCTAACTCCAGAAAAACCTTAGATTTAAAAAAAAAAAATGCCCAGATGCCTGGACAGGGGGCCCCCTGGTAGACCAGTGTATGGCTAACTAATGCCTCGTCAAATTAGTTAACTAATTGAGCCAATTATGTGAGCTGATGGTGAAATTTAACAAATATACAGAATGACTGAGGTGCCCCTGAGGAGAGGTTTGGGAAACGAAGCGACGTTCTTGTAGCCGTCCAACAAGATTTGAGTAACTATTTGTAGAACAGAAGAAATTCTTATTTTTTTATTGTGTTGCTGTTAATTTAAATATATTCTAATGATGCATCTTTTTCCGAGCAAATATACACTTACTAACCAGATAAATAATGTTAAACGTTTCTTTTGACTGCTTTAAGGCTTTTGCACAGTGCCGTATGTAGATAGGCGTTGGCGGAGACGCAGAATGAGGGGCGGTCTTTCTCCCCTGCAGGTGTGGCGAGGCGCCCTGGCCCGCATGCGCTGCCGCAAGCTGTGGGCCGTCTACGCCATCATGGGCTGCTACAAGCGCTACAAGGTGAAGGCCCACTTCTGGGAGGTGAGCCGCAGGTTCAGCAACGTACGCAACATGGCCGACTACGGCTGGAGCGTGGAGTGGCCCGCCCCGCCCGCCGCACTGGCCCAGTTCCACAGCATCACCCAGGGGCTCTACCGAAGGTGGGTCGCCATGGTTACCGAGCTCCCCAGCGATGCTGTCGTGTGTGCTTATGGGACACGAAAACCCCAAAAATAAAACCCAATCGCTAAAAATAAAACCAAAACATAAAACAGGCAATTAAATTTGACAACACGTAAGGGTGTGGCTTTGGGAGTAGTTCAGGAAATCATCTATATTTATAAAGAAAAATATTAAACTGGCTGATACAGATTATTTGGCTGATATTTGTATGGGAAATTAGTTCATCCATTAGTTCATAATATGATATTTTGGTTAGATTCGGTCGGATTCTGTGGTTTTCTGAGAAACGCTCAGGGTTGGAAGTCAGTTGCAGTGTAGAGTGACCCCCTAACCTACAGCCCAGTGCTGCCTGTGTCCCTTAACACGCACGTTGCTGTCAGTGTGTCAGTGCGTCCCTCCGTTTGCGGGGATCTGTGTAAATCGGTCAGTGCGCCCCCAGGTGGTGGGCGAGGCAGATCGTGAAGAACATTCCCCCCTCGGACATGCTGGAGGTGCGCGCCAAGGTGGCGGCCCTGGCGGCACTGAAGGGGGAACGACCCACTTGGGGCTGGGGGCGTGCCTGGGAGAGGGACTACCTCAGCCTGGTAAGAGACAGGAGGCCATTTTAAAGCCTGTTTATTGCATCTGAATCAGTCTGTTTGACTAGTCTCTTTACTGTCACCCTTTTTACATGTTAACCCCTCTGTTTGACTAGTCTACTCACTGTCATACTGGTTATATGTTAACCCCTAGGATTAACTAGTCTGTTTACTATCACACTGTTTACAGTTCAGCCCTCAGATCTCGTTGTCCATGTGCTTGTTTTTGTTCCATCGATAACTTAAAATCATACAGTATACCCTTCGAAATAATTCCACACCTGTGATTTCAGGCAAACGATTCTCCCCAGAGCTGTACCAGCTTCGTAGAGATGACCAAGGAGCTGAAGAAGAAGGACCAGTACAACACAGTGCTGTTTTCGGGATTTGTGCGTAAGGTTGGTACGAGAGCATCAGTGCCTGCTGGGTTTGACGGGGCCCTCCAGTCTGGGGCCTCACCTCACGTGACCATGGTGCCCCACAGGTGAACAGGTTCAATAAGAGCACTGACCGTGCCCTGCTCATCACTGACAAGAACATCTACAAGCTGGATCCTCGCAAGCAGTTCCGGGTGATGAAGAAGCTGCCTTTGGAAAGCGTGAGTCCAGACACGTGCGACACAGACATGTGCAGCACCGACATACGTCAGAACTGACACGTAAAGCACCATCATACATCAGCACAGACATGTGCAGCACCGACATACGTCAGAACTGACACGTAAAGCACCATCATACATCAGCACAGAGTGCTCAAAGAAAATCTTTGGATGCTTGTTTAATTGTGTTAAAATTTATTGGTTTAATAAGAAAAGTCCATTGACAAGCAATATTTAACATCTCTGCACATATCTTCCGCACAGACATTTTCTTTTTATTAACTGTCATAATTTTTTGACTCATTCATTCACTTCTTGCCATTTTGCTGTTAATTGCAGTTGCCCTCACCGGCTCCCAAATGGATTCTAAACACAAATTATTGGTGTTTTATGTTATTGCAAAGGTGATACTAATTAAAAAGCACCCAGTGAGACTGCTAACTAACTGCTAATTCAGAGCTGCTCTTTTAGAACTATAATCTGGGTTCGAATTTTACTACTGAAATGAACGTTACTAATGATACAATATACATTTTTGTAAGCAAATAAAGTAATTTAATAACCATTATTTAATAAAACCAACAAATTTGCAATATTTTTACTGTATTAAGCAAGCATCCCCAGACTTTCTGTGAGCTCTGTATATCCTGTATATAAATACACTAGAGAATTAAATATGTTAAGCTACCACTGAATAGTATGCTAACACTTAGCAATGTTTATCTGAGTATGAATCAATATGCAGCCTGGTTTTAACACCCTCATAATAAAACATTATGTAATACGAGCTGTTATGACGGGCCAGCGTGTTGTTTACCATGATTTAGAGCATTAGGGCTTCCTACAGTATGGCACAGTTGGGTTTAGCCTTCACCCATGACGTCCAGCTTGGTGCTCCAGCACGCGGCAGCGGGATTAGCATCTGTCCCGTCGTGTTCATTAAGCCATAAGAGGATTAGCATCTCTCAGGCCCGCCTTGAGCTATGAGCTGGGCATGTGGAGGGAAATGCTCCCCTGTAGCCTCTCTGCACAGGAACAGCCGCACTGCGTCATAACTTCACGAGGACTCTGCTAACATAGCTAAATCAAACTAATATAGATGCCTGTGGATAGTCAGTACGACTAGTGAATAACTTTGTGTGTTCGTGTGTGGGGGGCACAGGTGACGGGCTTAAGCGTTACGAGCGGAGCTGACCAGATGGTGGTGCTGCACACGTCCACCCAGGATGACGTCCTGGTTTACCTCCAGAGAGGGCAGCTCTGCCCCAATCAAGACCGCGTGGGGGAACTGCTGGGCAACCTGAGTGACCACTTTACACGGTTAGTCCATCCATGGTGACCTGCTGGAAGGCACACTGCATTTTGCAGTTCATCCATGGTGACGTGCTGGAAGGCACACTGCATTTTACAGATCATCCATCCAGATTAGCTAACTCATGCCATTAGTCCACTAGGGGGCATTCTGAATGACGATTTAACACACACAGGGGGCACTCTGGATGAAAATTTTAAATGGTAAGTCCACTAGGGGGTACCTCGAGCAGCAATTTAACTCTGCTAATTCTTATAACAGTATTTAAAGGTAGCATCTGGATCTGAAGAAGTAAAGACGTTGTTTAATTGAACCTTAACATTAATTAATTTGTAGTTACTTAATGGTAGTATTCAATAACTTTATTCTTGTGACCCCTGTTTTTTTTTTTTTTTTTTGCTAATTGACATTAATTATTTAGGTGAGTATAATTGTCTTTGATTGTCTGTCCTCATCCTATCTCGGGTGTCCACTGCTGTGGCAGTTGTTTGGCCTGCTGTTTTACGCGGAGCCTGCCTGCTCACTGCATTAATGGCTACAGAAGGTGGATCCATCCACCCATCCGTCCAATTTGCAGAGCTGCGTACCCAGGGAGGTGGCCTGGAGCCTTTCCCAGGGAGCACAAGGCAGGGGACACCCTGGACGGGATGTCAGTCAATCTCCAGGCACTTATTAACAAGACCTGCGACGGGAAGACCTGCTTTGTAGTTTCACAGTCCTGACAGCAGAGGGCCTCCCTTCCCCCCATACAGAGAGCCTCTGCCATCCTTAATCAATTTGCTGGCTGGCCTTTAATCTGCAGATCTGGCTACCCCCCCGTTGTTTCCTGTTTGCTCTGAGGCGGCTGGCAAACAGCACAGCCTGGGCAGACCGGTGACAGCACTCGCGTGACCACAGCAGCGCACAGCGCGAGTCCTGCCCGTGTGGCCACGCCCTGAAGCGCGTCCTCTTTCAGCTGCGCGCTTACATGCATATCAATCGGCACACGTGTCTGCGCTCCGCAGCCCAGGGCACATGCGAGCGCTGGTGGGGGTGCAGGGGACGGGGCGTTCCTCCGCTCTGTAGGCCTTTGTCTCCCCCCTCAGGCATATTGTCCTGCCATCTGGGTCAACACTGACCCAGGGACCTCTGGGAAGCGCAGGGGAAGAAAAGATCTAAGATGGAGTGCTTGTGGGCGGGGAGACAACAATACTCACTCACACCCTCCTTCTGCTCCGGGGTGGATAAATGACAATACACACACACTCTGCTTTCTGGGGGGGGGCACACCAAAGTCATGGGCATTTCCAGTGCGGAGCATGCTGGAGCAGCTGCAGTATAGCTGGGCGTCTCTTCATGCCGGGGGTGCAAAGGGAGACCGGGAACAATCCAGAGGACTTGAGAAGCTGAATTATGATCCTTTTGCCAAGCGTCTGAGGCCAAAGGCAGCTATAAACATTGATGAACGTACAGCTGAGGATCTGAGCTGTGCTGGTTAATGCGGAGCCTTGAGCGCTTAAGCCATTTGTGGGACGAGGAGTTGGTGGCCATCTGCCTGGACAGCTGGGAGTCTGGGGAGGGGTGCGAGCAGCTGGGACCGGGGGAATGGGTGCGGGAGGGGGGCGTCTGACTCCGAGGGCATCCAGACCTTTCTTGTTAACTGTTTCCCCCGCCTATACATGGAGGCTGGTGTCTGGTCCTGGTGGGGTTCAGAGGATGCCTGCGGCCCCCGTGTGGAAGATGGGGCTCAGTGGGGCCGACTGTGAGGGAATGAGGATCAGTGTGGAGATCTGAGCCTCACTTCTCTGCCTGAACAGTAACGGGCTTCAGTTATAAATGATTTACTAAAAAGAACCTGCAGAGTAAATGTAGGCCACGCTCATCCAGCCAACCTAGATATGAGCGCTCCAGAAAGGAGCAGAGAGAGAGAGAGCAGTGACCCCGATAGAGGAGGTCAGCGCTGAAGGTCAGCGTGCAGCTCCATCTCCAGCGTAAGCCCTGAGCTCTGAGCCCGTCGCTCCGCTTGGCCCATCACTATTCCAAAGTCGGTTTTTGGGCCGAGAGGAGCGTCAGCCATTCCAGAAATAGAGCCTTCCCCTGCCTGAACCCCTCCCTGAGTGGCTGTCCTTAATGCATTGGCTTTACAAGCGGAGGAGCCAGCGATTTCACTGGAAAAGGCAATGGAGCGATGTTTCTAGCAGCGTCTAGGGTTACACAGAGAGATTGATAAATAGACTTCTGTCTCTGGATGAAAATGATACTGATTGACAGTAACAGGGAAGTTTTTGATAGGAAGAGGAACAGTTGGTTTTGGTGTCAGCCTAGTTTGTACTTCTTCATGTCCAGTTGTCTTGTATGAAATCAGTAGCAGACCCCTGTAAAATATGGCAGTGCAAAAAAACCCAAATAAAGACAGGAACATAATAAAACTGAATCCATCCTGTACGCGTGATGACGTTCACGGTGAGTTATATATCTGCACATGCCAGTGATTCCTGCTACTCCAGAAATGTGGCGGACAGATGTTTCCCCAAGCAGACTCTTCCTCCGCCTCGCATTAATGCTACTGGAAGATTCTGCTGAGTCTCCACGGCCTGGTTGGTTCTACACTATAGCACAAACCTTCAGAGAAAAGCAGTTTCAGAACAAAGTACCTGCGCTTCTGACCTGAATGTAAAAAGCCTTAAAAATTACCCATTTTCTGCAGAAAAGATACCATGCCTCTCTCACTTCCATTCATCCATAATCCAGGTTTTGCAGGATAAATAACACTGTACACCACTGTCTGATTTTGTTTTATAAAAGCAGCACCACCTGAAAATGCATAGTCTTTATATCTATTTTTGGAAGGTACACAAGTATTATTTTTTCCCCTGTGCCCGCATGGTAGTGAGTGGTGCTTTGCACTGCAGGGTTGTATAAAGTGTGTGTCACTGATCACTGATCGGTCATCTCACCATCCCTGGTGGCAGTAATGAGAATGTCCACCCAGCTGGCTAGGGGTCCAGTTCCATAATTCTATATGTGTCCCCCATTGATCAGAGAGTGCCATGTTGCCCCCATGTGAATTTGCCAGGGCCATGAAAACCTTTCACTGATCGTGCCACCAGAATTGTCCATCCAAGGAGCTGTTGATAACAGGCTGTCTGAGCCTCTATGTCTGACCATCAGAATTTTACTCCATATACACAGAAGGGTTCAGCTCTCCCTGGGAGAATTTTGGTCTCCATGATGTACTGGACCCGAGCAGGTGCCTTCAGTAACTACACCCAGGCCGAGAAAATGATGACCTCACTGTAGAGATATATGACTCTGAGATGAGTGTTTAAAGGATGATCACTGGAACGACTACACCATATAAAACACGCCTTGGGTGCTAATTCTGTTTTGGATTCTGGGGGGGGGCAGGCCTTCAGGAGCTTCTGCTGCGCCCCAGTTCTGTCGTAGCCGTTTCCGTGGCGATGAATAATGCGGCTCCTGCCTGGCAGATGAGCACGCTGATCTATGATGAGGCTGTCCTTGCGGGACTGACCCACCTAGTGAGCCAGGAGGGGGGGGGGTGCAGTAGTGGGTGGGGCTGATGATAACGGAACAATCTAGAAAGGGGCATGATTGGAGGACAGCTGGGACTTGAATACACTGTGGCTAGTTATAGTCGCAGCATCATTCTACCTGGTTTAATTAAGCGGAGTGTATTATTATTTTCAATGTGTTTCCATGGAAACCCATATACCTAGACCACTCAGTGACTGGCTGAAGGGGACCACCATGCATGACCCCTTTCGGAATCCTAAAGGTGGCCGCACACTTCGACGAAAGTAACAGAATCAGTGTCAAGTTAGCAATATGAGTGCTGGTCCCGGCCAACTTGTTCTGATCCCACCCACTGTCCACGATTGGCTGACATAAACATGATGCCGCAGGGTTGGTCAGCAGGACTAATTATGCAGTTACTATCATGCCTTGCGCCCCACTGTGCGTATCTTTAGAAAGTGTAAATTAATATGTGTATTTCTATATTTCTTTTAATAGTAAATATTGCAACTCTAATGCTTGTCATGGAATATGTGTGTTTCATTAGCATGTAACCTTGAGTGTAAATTATTGACTTCCCTGTCGATTCTGCTGCTAGTATTCAACCAATAGTGGCTGTTATTAAAGAAAGCAACTTCTATTTTAAAAGAGCTGTCATCTCCTTTATTAAAATGACTCTTGGCCTTGTCGCAATGCGTTTATTTTCCCTCTGCTTGTGGGTCTGCAGCATGAAAAACATTCTGAGCCCTTTAGGGTTGTGGCGTGACATAGAATGAACCTGGTGACAGCATCATTTTAAATGTGTGACAGATTGTTCTTGCTGACGTGTTCGATTCTGTTTGGTTCGGACGTCGTTTGACGCATACAGCCACCTTTACAGAAGCCAGTGTGACTTCAGGGCATGGCACTGAAGGCTGCTGGGATCACCGGTCAGCATGGACCATGGAACCGGGGGCGGGGGGGCACCTGGACTCGTGGTCTTTTGCAGCATCACTAAGAATGCAGTGCAGAACAATCATGAAAAAAATATCTACAAATAATGTAATGCAAACTGATAAAAGCTTGAATTATATCAGCATTTCTGAAAACAAAAAAAAAAATTCAAAAGCAAACAGATATGTAGATATGACATGATCATCCCATGCCCCCCCCCCCATGTTCAGATACAGTCAGCGGTGCCTGTCAGAGGTTCTGACCGATAGACATGTAACTGAGTCGGAACAAGGGGCAGTGTGTGTTCTTGTGAGGTATGCATGTCATTTCAGGCAGCAAACTGAGGTCTGCGAGTGAATAATAACGTGTGCTGTGTATGGACTTAATGTGATGTGTTTAAATAACACTGTGTGTTTCAGGGTGATGTGCAAACCTCTGTCGGTCTCCGTGCGAAGCTCCGCCCTCCAGCTCAACATGCGTGGAAAATCCAAGAACGTCACCGTGGAGACAAAGCCGGGCCAAGCTAATGCGGACTTCCGCAAGAACAGAAATGGCTTCACCTTATTGGTACCAGCCAGTTAATGTCCCCAGCATGGCCCTACAGCGCTGTGCCCAGGGACAGGTGGTACAGGACCCCTCCATGACGATGTACAAATCTTCATTACTCGTTTTCTTTGTTTTTTACTTTTTCAAAGATGATGTATATTTGTTTTTTTAGATATACAGTATTTAAGAGTATTTTATACTAATCTCAGGAACGGGGGGGGCGGTACCCCCGTGACAACACGAATGGCTCTGCCGTGGCCTCCCTAAATACGTATGTTACTTGGATCTGAAATAAATGTATTATTATTATTATTACTATAATTATTTTTATTATTATTTACATTTATATATGCGGGGTAAAATGTTGTGTGCTGTGAACAGGCGAAATACAGGCATGTGCACATTTTTTTGATGGACTCTAGGTACCAGGTGGTCAAGTCGCTTCAAAAAAGTTAATGACCAAAAAAAATAAATCAAGCTTGTGGAAGCAAGACAGTCTAAACAAGAAATCAGAGTGAGTTACATATTTGTAAAAACTGTCAAATGTAACTGCAAAGCATTGCATAAATAACTTATTGGTTTTCAAAATTGTCTTTTGGTTCTTAATGCTGACAATCTAGTGTAAGTAATGCGTGGAGGACATTAAGGTTGTATGCATCTGCCCCCCTAACAGAACAACTGCCCCCAGTTTGCCCCTCCCCAGATGAAATGGTCTAGTACTGTCACTGAAGCACAGCATTCTTTTAGAAAAAAAACACACAAGTCCAAGGGTGTAGGGCCCAAATCATCACCCCCACCCCCACACAATACAGTACACACACAATACTGATAGAGACACGTCCCTGTCATCCATAACCAAATCTACACCCTTGGTATGGATCTATGTAAAAATGCTTTGGAGACAAAAACTTGATGTGATTAACTACTGGCTACGAGGATGTAAGTCAGGGCTATGTAGTATATGACTGGTATCGTTGCTATTACAGATCAAACTCACAGCAAATAAAAACTAGCTGCCTGAATACTATAGTTTGTTGATGTAGATGACTCATTCTGTCTGTTTGCTTGTGCTGTTAATGGGCTCGGACCCTCCCCAGAGTGGGCCAACCTTTCCCTTGCCCCTATTTTACCCTGACTTTACCAACCTGCTCACGTTTGTCCTCATGTCGCTCGGAGCAAAGAGGATTAGTGTGGCATAGGTGGAACCAGTTTAATGGGGGGGGGGGGGCTTCCTTTTATCCCCAGTACTCGTCGACCTCAGAGGCTCCATTTACCAAAAATAACAGCAGCGGGAAAAAAGCCCGGCTCTGCTCTCATAAAGACAAACATACATTGTGAGAAATCTAAACTTATCACTTGGGGCCTGTTGCATGAAGCAGGATTTCTTGCTTAGCCAGATAACTTCTCAGATTTAGGTAGTCTGGGCCAAATGTAAGTCCATTAAAACTAACGTATCTAAATCTGATAAGTTATCCGGCTAAGCAAGAAATCCTGCATCGTGAAACAGTCCCCAGGTGGATTAACTATGGACACCGAGGCCGAATACAAACTGCCTTCCGTAAAGCCCAGCTTCCCGGCACTCATCTCTTATATATATTACATATGACTTTTGATAGGTTGAGAACGTAAACAAAAATGTCACAGCTTAATTCATAAATATTCTTGTAAGAAAACAGACTTGGTTTCTTATTTAACCAGTAGGAATGTATCCCTATAATAATTTTCGAAAAATGTGATTTTTTTTGTCCCTACCTGTCAACCTAACATTAAACTAATCAGACAGGCAGGAGCACCAGCAGCAGACATTCACTGGTGCAGCTCACACATGCCACGCAGCGCCTCTCCAGCTTCTGCTGGGCCTTCACATGGCCAAAGGTGCCAAGTAGATATAACTCATTATTCACACCCAGCTGCAGCCATTAATTTAACACCAAGGAGGAGAACTAGGCCAGAATTTAATTTGTTGTCATCTTTGTAATATGCAAGTCATTTCTGAGTTTAGCAAGTGTAGGCAATTCATCTAGCTATGCAGTTACCTAACGGCACTTTCTACCAGCATACAGGAACCAAGCCATAACACGAAGAAAGACTAGTTACAGCACGGTTACAACGCGTAGAGAGACTAGTTACAGCAGAAGGGTCGGCTGACTAAAGGCATCGGCGGGTTTGGAGAGCTACCTTTAACCGTAGATATGATTATTTACTGTTCATACAGTGTACATCATGATTTACCGTGTGCTAATTTCTGCTAGCTGAGCAGCGAGAATCACCATTTTGTGTTAGTATTAACACTAGTGGCAAAATTTACATTACAAATCCATTTCATTCAGCTGTTCTATAGGTTTTTTAAGTAGGTAATTGGAAATTTTCAAGTTCCAAGTTATCCGGAATACATTGATATACACGGAATACATTGATAACCACGCACAGTGGTGCCGTGGTTAGTACCGTTGCCTCACACCTCTGGCACCAGGGTTCAAATCTCTGTCATGGCCCCATGTTTGTGGAGTTTGCATGTTCTCCCCATTGTCGTGGGGTTTCCTCTGGGGGCTCCGGTTTGCCCCCCACAGTCCGAAACGTGCTCAGGCTGATTGGAGTTTCAAATCTGCCTATAGGAGTGTGAATGAATGGTGTGTGAGTGCCCTGTGGTGGGTTGGTGCCCCCTCCTGGGTTATTCCCTGCCTTGGGCCTCTAGACTCTGGACCCCCTACACCCCTGAATAGGATTAACAGTTACAGAAATTGGATGGATGGACATCAATACATTGCAATGTCAATCTTACTAATAAATAATATATAGGATATACACTTTTTCCTTCAGATAATCCATGCTCAGAACACCGATATCTCTGTGCATATTATAACCAATCAGATGGTGGTGACACAGCCAGCTACTAAGCAGGGCCACGTTGACGCAGGTGCAGCTCTCATACTGTACAATGTAAAAGTGCCAGTCCGCGATACCTCAGGTATGACTTGGTTCTTGGTGGCAGTGGAAAAGTGCCGTAACTAAACTGCTATGGTGTGCTAGTTAGCATGGAAGATTATAACCTAATTCTGGATTAAGGGAGGACCCCAGACCCCTTGTCTGAAATGCCCATGTTGCTTCTGATTCTGAAACTAAGTCTCTCACCATAAGGTCCTGCTGGTCTTTTCCTTGGTGTGTCCCCGTTTCCATGGAGGAGGATCTATCTTTCTGCTACTTTATGTTAAAAAGTCCTGTGATACATTATATAATTGCTTTGAACTCATGGATTGAGGTCAATTGTAAGCTAGTCTCTGTAGGAGTAGGCTAGCCTGATTAGCTTCAGGCTAATGCACAAATTACAGACCAAACTTGATTACCTTAATTTCTATATGTGTAGCTAAGGGCTATGTGTGACTCAGAGTTACCCTAGATAGCTATGGCAGTTAGCTCGGATAGCTCTGTATAGATGTCATACCTAATGATAACCTGCCTGTGTGCGCATCGTCACTCTCCCGGTGGGTGTGTCCCTGTTAGCCCCTCCCCTGTGTGCGCATCGTCACTCTCCCGGTGGGTGTGTCCCTGTTAGCCCCTCCCATCATAACCCCTTCCAACGCATGCGATCACTCTCCAACCTGCTACTTTTAGTGCTACAGCGTGCAGGGTGGAAGTGGTGTTGGTGTGGCCAACAGGTTAGCCTTCCTGTGGTCTGTGTGGATCTCAAAGCCCCAGTGCAGTGATCGGGACACTGTGCTGTTAAAATGGTGCTGTCCTTTGGATGAGACATATTAACAGGTCTTGACTCTATGACGTCATAAAAGATCCCTGGCCATCTTGTGGAAGAGTAGGGGTGGTCCCCCAATGCCCTGGCTAAAATTACCCATTGTGATACTATCTAATCTGGCCTCCTGCCCCTTCACCGCCTTAGCTATGGTGTGGTGAGCACGCTGGCACAGACTGGCTGCCGTCGCACCATCTAGGTGGGTGAAGTGGCTCCCCATTGGTTGTGTAAAACTCTTTTGGTGTCGTGAAAAGCACCATATAAAAGAATCGTTCATTCATTTATTCAGGGCCAGTATAATTCATGTGACCTCCAAACCAACAGATGGACTAGACTAGACTGAATAATAGCTGGACTGTTAACTCAGTCTGATCTGGGTCACCCTGGGCCAGAGCAGGTCAGTAATATGTGCTGACAGGAAGAGCAGGATGACTGTACTGTATAACGGGCTTCAAAACATACAGCGACAATCACACACAAATGCATGTACAGTACTATACAGAAGTCAGTCAAAGAAAATGATCCTCATGTGGGTGTCAAACTATGGTACGTCTGTAAAAGTGTGTTAGCTTAGCCGTTTCAAAACCTCTCCTACAGTTACCCCAGTATTTGTAGCATCATCCAATACACCCATGTATTTTTTGACCACTAGAGCACCACACATGCCTAATCGATACCTCATTGAGTTATCTAACTAATTAAGTTATTTAATTAAGTGGACTGGTGGTGAAATTTAACGTATACATTGGAATGGCTGGGGTGCCCCTGAGAAGAGGTTTGGGAACTGAAGGGGTGTTCATCTAGCCGTCCAACACGATATCCATAATTTTTTGGAGAACACAACAAATTCATGTTAGTTTTTCTTGTGTTACTCTTAATTAGCCAGTCCCTGCAGGATCACATACATTAATGCAAAATCAAGCAAACTGCAATATTTGCAAGGACTCGCGATTTTTCAAATTTACCGCAGCTTTTCCACAAGAAATCAACAAATCAACAGACTGCTTGCATTTGGACCATGACGTGTCCTGTGATGCCATCGTGGTGCAAATCCATGCGTGCTTTTTGTTAGGCTGCGCTGCAGGGAAGATGAACACAGCAAACATATAATTTACTAACAAGAATTACAATTCCCAAATGTTTTGCACGAAAGTGGAGTCAAATTGTTTTGCACACTTTGCAGCATTTTTCTATCAATGTATTTGACTGTTTGTATTTGCTGCGAATATTGAACTGAAAATTCATTTAACTATGACTTAACCAACTGGACCAATGCTGCACCATGCATGCTGTTAATATCGATATCGCATGTTAGGCACATCGCAATGACCGCCATAGTCAGGTGGGTTGTTATGCTAAAACGTTTTTACTCAGTTACAGGAAGCAAAACTTAGCAAGCTTGCAAGTTTAATGATGTTTCCTTTTGCTGTTGTTGCATGAGCTCTGCATAAACAAGAACTGTTCACCAAAAAACATTTGCATCCACCAAATGGAAATATTTCAGATTCCATATCAACGATATTGAGCAAAGGCAGGTGATTTGTCGGCACAACCGGCAACATCACCAGCAACTTATCTGGCAGACTCTGTTTTTTTCTTGAATATTGCAAAAATGTGAATGATCGTGATGTGAATTTCCTTCAGTACTGTACAGCCTTGCAAAAGAAAATATTTTCTATGTAACTAAGCCAATGGTTCTTGAATTCAGAAAAGACCTAAAAACGAGCACTGAAATGTGATAGGCCTGTCAAAGGAAGTAATTATAAAGTGTATGTCTCATTCTTCACTGATAGAAGTTAAAAAATATCCTTGAACAATTTTGTCAATTTATGCAAAGTTGCATTATAAATTTTGAGAAAAGCAACTGCGAAATCCCATAGGAACTGATTTGCATATGCATAACTTTAAACATTTCCTTTGACTGCCTAAGACTTTTACACAGAAATGTGTATATGCAGCCACAGCTTCACAGATACTAGGAAGGATCCAGCACACCATGCAGAGACCGACACACAGAGAATAACCAGCTTTCCCCAAGAGCAGCAGCTACGGTGAGGCCATGTGAGCTTCGCTGTTCTGGGGACCTCCTCTGCTTTAACCGCAAGGCCAGACATTGTGGCTGAGCAGGAATTTAATCAGGATGGGGGTGGGGCTCACGGATTCCCAGCTGGCTGCGTGGATGTGCACAGTGCCTGTGTTTGTGTGTCTGTGTGCCTGACATGAACACAGTCAATCGACACACCTTCCACTGAGGTTCTCTTTCAGAACTTTATTAAATAATGATAAAAAAGTAAAATGTGCATTGCAACATTAATAAGAAACAAACGCTTTAGACATTTTGTTTTCAAGTTTTCCCAAACAAGTAAATAATATGAACCTGTGTACGCTTATGCAAGTGACTTTACAAAAGCCACACAGAAGCGATGCTCCAACTGGTGACAGAGAACCACAGAGAACACAGCTGAGGGGGGGGGTCGGGGTTTCTGAAGGCAACCTCAAGATTATGCCACTCTGTGCCCCCACAGAGCAGGGTTTTACTGGGGGGCGGGAGGGGAGGATTATGGCAGTAACCACATCCACTCACCCTGAAAAGTATCTCTCACTCACATCACCTCTTCTCCCGTTCTTCACCCATTCCCCACACAACTCAGAATGCTATTGTAACATTACTACAATGCTCCAGCAATGCTTTCGGAATGTTACACACTGGCTGTCTTTGTGCTTTATATTAATCCGAAGAGATGCATTATAAAGATATGCATTTACTTTATACAGTAGTGGTGCCATTGGTCGAAATTCACATGCTTCGAGATTTCAAGACTTTGAAGAACAAAATTAAATAATAATAGAATTACTTCATCCCCATAGCAATAACATTAACGCGCCTATAATAATTTTAATTATTATAACAGCTATAATTATAGCAGTTAACAAATTAACACTGTTGACATCAGATCTCCCATAACTGGGATAAACTAATTTGATTTTATCAAGCAGATGAAAAAAAACAAAACATTTTAGTCATTCAAACTACAATGACGTTCAAAAAACAGCTAAAGTAAATAAAAGGAAAATCTGCTGTTTTCAGCAAACATGCACAATGCCACTTAAGCAAGTCGTATCCACTTGTTACTCGTCACCTGGCAGCACGTTTCTATGGTGTGACGTCTTTTGTCCCCTCCCCATCCAGGAAGACCCTGGTCTACAGGCGAGTCCTTAGCAGCAAATCACGATGGCTTTCCAGGGTCCCCGCAGCTCACAGAGCGATGGCGGCTTCTGAGCCAGGCTGCCCCCCAGGGCTGGTTAGAGCACTGACTGGCCAAATTCCCACGCGAAGTGCTACCTCATCCAGAAACGACTTGGCCGCAAAATCACCAGTGACCGGGTCAGCAGTTCCATCGTAAGCCCTATAGGTGGCACTGTAGGGCCCTTGGGGCCCAGGGGATCAGGGCCATCAGAAGAGTGCTGAGGGCGACCGGCAGCGTGCGTGTCCCGAGACAGGGGGGGCGCTCCAGGGCTTCGGCACGCACACACCCCCGTGACTCGGAAGCCTGTCTCTCGCCGTCGGGCTGAGAACTCCGAAATGGGAGCTGGACTGCACTGAGACCGAGGAACCCTTACGTCTGGAGAAGGAGGAAGGGGAGGAGGAGGAGGAAGGGGAGGAAGAGAAGCGGGAAAGGGAGGAGGAAGAAGAGAAGGAGGAGAAAGGGGAGGTAGAGGAGCAGGAAGGGGAAGAGGAGAAGCGGGAATGGGAGGAGGAAGAGGAGGAGAAAGGGGAGGTAAAGGAAGAGGAAGGGGGGAGAAGGAGGAAGGGAAGGTGGTGAAGGAGGAGGGAGAAGAAGAAATGGAGGAGGAAGAGGAAGAGGGGGTGATCAGATGCAAAAGAGCATAACTGCACAGTGTCAGGGGACATTCAGAAAGCAGCCATAGGAGCAGGATGGCGTCGAGGGTCATGACTGGATAGATCCTGACTGGTACAGGGTCACGTGACCTGAGGACAGCTGAGGGGCATGTACACTCTGACAGCAGGTGGCAAGGCAAGTGGGACCAAACACACTGGCATGTTCCTGGCCACCTCTTAATGGGGCTTTAAAAAAAAACATAGACAGGGAACACCAGTGGTGAATGGGGAGCACTGGTGAGGTAAAACGTGTCAGAGAAGGGAAGATTAGGGTTGGACCAAGGCTTTGATCCATACCTGTATGTGTGTATCTGTGTAAACTTGTGTTGTGTGAGTTAGGTAGGAAATGAGTTTGGTAGTGCAGGAGCATTAGAGGTCACAACAGCTGAGAGCCACAAAAAAACAGCACATGACACCAGCTCAAGGCAGAACAAGATCTCCTCTCACAGTGGTGTCCAACCTGCCAGCAGCCAATGAGAGTGCAGCTCTTAGCCAGGGAGAATAAACAACAAGCCTAGGTTCCTGATTCCAGAGACCAATGGCCTGCTTCTGTATAGAACAGATCATCAGTCCGGTTCAGCCCAGTTCCATCTCCTATACTTTAGCATCTGGTCTAACATGAGTGGATGCTTCTTCCACCTAACACCTCATAATGCCCCCAGAGGTCCCAAACATTTTCATCCCATAAGACCCGGAGACGCGGCCCCATGCCTGGAGATGAGGTATTTAGTCAGGCAGCTGCGATTAGCTGCTGAACCTGCAGGGCCAGTTAATCTCATTACTGCCATTAGTCTGCCACAGGCACTGTGCAGTACATGTGCCAGAGTAACAAAAACAGCCTGTCCCCCGCCATCGGACAGTGACCTCTCCGTGAACGTAACCTTTGCCCCACGTTGGTAACCCCGCTAGAGAAAATGTAGAGAAGCCACAGCTCTGGGCGGCCCTTACATCTGACGGAAGCTGCTAGAAGATATGCGGCCTGAAGTTTCTGCAACCACCTACAGACACCAGTCAGCAATCTAACATCAGAACACATCAGTCTAAGAAGCTAAATTCCCAGGGAATTAGCTGGTATTATTGGTAACACTTTACTTGACAGGGCACAAATAATATAGCATGCTGTTACTTATGTATTAATTAACCACAAACTCTTAGTCTTACATGATGTTTGTTCACCATTAATGAATCGTGACACATCTTTTGTCTCAAGTAGCGACTATATTTGTTCATGATTCGTATTTCAGTAGTAACTGAGTTATTGCTAAGTATTTGTTTCCTGTCAAGTAAACTGTTACCATGTTATCTAGCAACATACCGGTTTAGAGTTTAGAGGTGTCCCAAGTGCTTTTAATTAGGTTTGGTCCATAAGAGTTTATATTAAACTTCTTTTTGTGGATGAAAAGCCCTTCCCCTCTGACTGTGTATGTGCGTGTGTCTATGTGAAGAAGAGATCAGGAGCGCAGGAAGAGTCTTTGGGCGAATATTGTGGCCAGACTACGAAGTGGAGCCTTCGGGGTGGCCTGTCTAGTTGGAAAGCAGTGTTTCAGACCTGTAAGTCATCTGAAGGGTACCAGTCCTGCAGGGATAACGCAGCAGGCAGCTAGAGTGACCTTTAATGGGTGAAAGGTAGGGTTTCAGGTGCAGAGAGGAGTGATAACCTGGGAATCCACCAGGATGACAAGACCCAAGATCCGTGGGCTGAGAAAACAGCAAGTAAAGTGCCAAGACGGAGCTTCCTCACCTGAGATACTTGAGTAAGTCTGGGAACATGTGCAAGGGGGTGATGACAGAGCAGGTGAGATGACGACGGAGAATGGGGAGGTTAAGTATGCGGCTTGAGGGGTGGGTAACAGTGACAGATCCTCCCACTCACCGATCCAGCACTTGGCCGTAGTCCAGTGGCATGCAGCTGCCTTCGCTCTTGAGCTCGGCAAACACCTGGGTGAAGAAGTGTGGGTCGGCGTTGATGCGCAGCATCTTGGCGCTGGTGGCGTCGATGATGCACAGACAGCGGCCCCAGAAGGCCTCTTTGCCCACCTCCACCAGGAAGGGCTTCAGCGGGTAGGAGATCTCGTTGCCCATGTAGGAGTAGGACAGATAGAGGCAGGTGAGCAGCGTGGCCTGCAGCTCGTGCTCGCTGGCCATCAGGTCGCCGTCGATGACGTCGCGGCACAGCATGTAGACGAAGACCACGTTGGCGGGCGTGACGAAGGCCTGGTCCTGCCAGCCCTGTAGCAGCAGTGCCCGGTCCACACTGCGCAGCCACAGCACTGGGTCGGCCGGCGACAGCTGCTTCAGCCGGTAGCAGCGGCGGCACAGGAAGCGGCCCAGGCAGCGCAGCAGCTCGCTGGTGGAGGCCTGGACGACGACACGCCGGGGCGACGAACTGGGCCGGGGCGACACCTTCTTCGCCGACGATAACTGCGGACGCCCGTGGCTGGGGGGCGGGCCCTCATAACTGGGCAGGTTGGCACAGGACACCGACTTCCTGACGTTCTCCCGGTTGAGGTGCGATACGTCCCGCTGGTGGATGTGACCACTGCTGGGCGGGGGCCCCGTGTTGCCACCCTTCTTCGAGCCCCTCTTTCGGGTCGAGGCCACGAGGCGCTTCCAGGTGAGAGCGGGGAGCAGGAGGGGCTGCCTCTTTATGCTCGGGTCGTTCTGGGCGCTCTGCGGCCGGCAGCTCAAGGTGGGGTAGTGGCTTAGGGAGCCGGGCCTGTCACCAAAGTAACTGGGCTTCCGGGACCCAGGGGACAGTGACAGCACTGTGCCCATGACAACAGCTAGGGCCCCCTTGTGGTTGGGGGAGCTGGGAGGGAGTCAAATTGCAGCCTCGCTCCTCAGTGGCGCAGGACTGCCTTGCCAGGGGTTCCCAGGTGAGGAGTCCTGTTGAGTCTAATTAGAGCGAATCGGTTGAAGCTTGGTGCAAATAGGCCGCCTGTATGAGAGGGAGAAGCAAGTCAGTGTCACCAAAATCACACGCGAGCATTACAAAAGAGAAGTCCTGTGCAAACAGAAGTATATTTATTAAACGTTGTTTTATTTCTGTCATTCCAAAAACAATAATAATTATACAGTACTGTGTTGATTTTGTACTGGGACTTCTGCACTAGTTTCTATTAACTCTGTGGACCCCAGATCAGCTGAGCCGCGGTGGCGCCGCGGTGCACGGAGCATAAAAACACCCAAACGCATTCATCGACTGTAGTGTGTGAGCTGCCCGTGCTCATAAAAATTTGAAAAGCTCAAATCCAGTGCATCCGATTTAGTTTCTGCCTCCCCGATCACTGTCTGAGTTACTCACCTGCTCCGTCTGTAGTTCTGGTGCAGATGCGATGTAGCGAGTCAGCGCAATGACCACCCCAGCCCGTGTCATTGCTCTTGTTTACTGTCCATCTCCAAGAGGTGCAATTTTTTTTAAAAATCGGCTACTGTTAACAGATATAATCAGCAGCAGTCCCGTGTTCTGCTCAGATTGGAAATAGTTTGTTTGTACTCCAGCAAATCTTGTCACTCTGTCCCCCGCTGACATATGATTCAGATTTCAGGGAATTTATTTTTCTAGTGGTTCGATTGTCGAATCGTCTCTCCCCTCCATACGATTTAATTAATTGTAGCAAATAAATAGCCAAATTTTGCGTTATATGCCAGTCCGGGTCCGAACATCTATCTTCCAGTGAAAGGGGAACTTCTCCGTACTTCGCAGATTGGCACGCAATTTTTACTGCGCTCGCATCGGTTCCGTCTGCCCGCTCCAGGGTGGGTTTTGCCTCCGGCTTGATGCATGCACAGCCTCTGTGAAAGTCCGGGCTAAGCTGCGACCCGGGACCCTGCTTCCGCTCAACTGACAGTGCGGCGCGGCTCTCTCGTGCCAGGCGCCAGACTCCTCCTCGCCCCGCAATCCGCGCAGCTTCCACTGAGCTGCTGCTCGCAAGAGAGGACGCGCGCGCGCGTGCACCCCAAAATCACACGCGCACTTCGTTAAAATGAGCGTGCCGGCTGCACATGTTCTTAAAAGTAAGCGCGATGTTAATCGGAATGTTGTAACTTAACTGAGGGCTAATTGCATCATGTGAACATTTTGTGTAATTGTGATTGCATTTCCGTGGACATCTTGTATGTTTTTGTATCTTTTTTGTGTGACTGTTTACATCAGTGAACCTCCTTGTGTGTGAGGGTGGGTGTACGTCCTGGTTGTATTGTTGTCTTATGTTTTGGACTCAGAGTGTAATTAGAGACCAATATGACCTCAGGACTGTTTTCAGCATCCGACCCTGATCCTTTTGTGGTTTACCGACCTAGTTCCAAGGGAGCAGGACACTACTAAACTTTGCAGGACTGTGTGCTACACACACTCTAGGCGTAGCCCGAAGGATACAAAAGTCAGAATGATGTTATCACTTTGCCACTTGGTTACACCTGGAAGTCAAAATAATGGAAAGCTCCCCCCAGCCCACCCTGCCACGCACCACCCCGATGCTCTGCCCCACGTAAGGGCTCTCTGGAGACCACTGAACGTCCACACCTCTGCTTCCATGTAGCTGATGACCAGAACACCAGCAGACTTGTAACACAAGCTGAGCGATTCGGTGCAGCGGTGAAGCCATCTGGAACATTTTGGACCCTCCTCCTGTGGTTCTCTCCACAAACAGCAGCCCAGTGGTGTTCAGGAGGGCGGCACATGAACAGAGGCTGCCTGTGATATTCGGTGAATGGACCTCCTTCACTTACTGGTGGCCTCATTTTATCATCAAGTTTGATGGTTGCTGACATAATGAACCTTCTCAGCTGGAGGTTGTATAAGAAGGCACAAGAGATGATAAATGCCAATGGCCAGGAGTGCCAGTCTTCACAGGCGGACTGAGGATAACCGTCCCCATGTCACAGGGACTGTCCAGTGCTGCGTGGGGAGCAGCCTTCAGGGGCCGTCCTGTCCGTCAGTGCGGCCTGTTGTGTGCTCTGGCTCCATCTCACATTGTGCAATCACACATTGCCTTGTGCTACTGGTGACATGCTGGCAGGCATAATGTGTCATTTCCTTTTTTCATTTTGAATCGTTGATGTCCTCACCTTGCTTAGCGTGAAACAGAAAACAAGACACTTTAACAAACAATTAGCAGTGCTCACAGAAAGTCCTGGGATGTTTGCTTATTCAGTAAAAACATTGCAAATTTATTCATTTTATAATGGAAATCATTACTTTGTAGGAGGGGGGGGGGCATAGTGGTGCAGTGCTTAGCACTGTTGCCTCACATCTGCGGGTTTGAGTCTCTGCCTGGGTTTACATGATCCCCTTGTGTCATTGGGGGGGGGGGTACTCCAGTTTCCCCCCTACCACTGTCCAAACACATGCTGAGGCTAACTGAAATGACCAAATTGCCCATAGGTATGAGTGAATGGTGTGTGAGTGAATGGTGTGTGAGTGCCCCCTGATGGGTTGGTGTCACATCCTGCCAGACCCCCACCACCCTGAACAGGATAAGTGTTTTCAGAAAATGGATCAATGCTTTATTCATAAATCACATTAGAAACAAGTAAAACATTAATTTCAGTAGTAAAATTCAAACCCAGATTATAGTTCTAAATGTGCTGTTCTGAATTAGCAGTTAGTAAGCATTCCCATTGGGTACTTTTAATTAGTATCACATTTGCAATAACATTAAACACCAAACATTTATGTTTAGTATCTCTTTGGGAGCCAGTGAGGACAACTGCAACAGCAACAGCAAAATGGCAAGAAGTGAATGAATGAGTCAAAAAATTATGACAGTTAATAAAAAGAAAAAGTCTGTGTGGAAGATATGTGCAGAGATGCTAAATATTGCTTGTCAGTGGACTTTTGTTGTGAAACCAATAAGTTTGTAGCATTATTTCAGAATTAAGCAATTTCTATGATCACTGTATATAGTTGGATAATTACCTGAACATTTGAATCGTCTCATAATGGTTATATATAATCATTTTATAATCCCAGAGAAAATACTAAGGCTAGGCCTGTCTGTCCAAAAGAATTATTAATCAGAGCTGTATGAACCGCATTGAATATTATACATTTTTAATGTCTAGATGAATTTGCTTTCACTTATCAACGATCTGTATGAAATGTAATGGAAGAGCCCATAGTCTGGTTAGAGTGCAGTAAAGGATTTGTGTGTTATTTGTGTGTCGGATCTTTGCATTTTGTTTACTGATTAACTTTTCTTCTGGCTGTCTTTATTTAATTTCTTTCCTTCCTTTTTCCCGTTCCGTATTTCTCTCTCATGATGTTTTATGTATCACAGCACATCCATGTAAAGTGCTTTGGGACGACTCTGTTGTGAAAGGCGCTATATAAAAATAAATTGAATTGAATGGCGGGGCTGTTCCACAAAGCAGGATTTTTTCCATTAGCCAGTTAACTTAAGCCAAATATAAGGATTGCCCATTGCCTATGTCTCCTCCTATTGGACAATTTTTGCATTTGACTAAAGTTATTCAGCTAACCAGGAAGCTCTGCTTTGTGAAATACCCCCCAGAACATTATCCGATTATGTTTGTGCATAAATGCAAGCAATCAGTAAATGGGGAGCCTCATCTAGCTCCAGAAAGAGCCCAGTCATCCCCCTGAAAGGCAGAGCTCAGTCTCAATGCAAGTAAGAAGAAGTCGGCCATACAGATGGCTTTAGGATATGTGCAATGATGCATCATGTGACTCTCTGGAGGTGGGCATCTGGTTGGCTGAACCATAGTGTGACAGAGGGGTCCAATGTGTGTGTTTATCCTCATAATGTGTGTGTTTGTGTCTCTGCCAAGTCCTGCAGTTTGCTTCTGTCTTACACTTCCTCCATTTTTTTTTTTAAAGATTTTTTTCTTCTTAAAGACTTCCAGTAAGATTCTGATAGGCAGCTCCATGGTGACCCCCCACCCCTCCCCCACCCTGCTCACCATGAAAGGGAGAGTTGTTAAACCAAACCGCCTGGTCATTCTCCCATCATGCCTTTTGCTGACACAGGGGGTCACTGTGCTCTCAGCCGAAGGCGACCGTTTAAACGTACATCAGCCGCCGAATAAGACCTGGCAGAGTACAGAAAGTGCCGGCGACCTCAGGCCGTTAAAGGGCTGCTGGCTGATGCTGTGTGCGGCATAACAGGACATGACATGTGGTAGATGCAGACTAGAGGCTTCACAGCGCTTTACACTTTTTATTTTAGTTCCACTCCAGTCAGCTGAGTTCAGAGTTGTGTTCTCTGCACAGCTAGCCTGCCTGTTTACCCAGAGTTCCGTCATCACATGGGGGACGCCAGCTGGTTTCCACGGCGACAGGTAAACTTGTAGGCCGCTGAAGTTTATCCTGAACTGCAGCTTACGGGTGCACTACGTTTCAGCGGAGATGGGTGCTAAAGGCCAATGCAGTACCGGGACAAAACCCACGTGGTGCCCTAGGCAAGACTCACCATCGGCGCCCCCTGTCTGACTAAGTGAAATTGGCTCTCTACGTGGTTCTGAAGATGGAGCCCTAGGTGGCCGCTTGTGTCACCTAAGGGGTTAACCGGCCTTGGGGCGATGTGAGTAATTTACACAGTAGAAGGTGGAGCAAAGGTTGAGGCAGAAACGGAGGAAGGAAGGGTGACAAATGTGAAAACACAGAATGAGGAAGAAGGTAAGCCGTGTTGCCCTGATCTTAAGGCAGTGCTGCTGAGTGGAATTAAGTTCACGCTCTGCAACATCTTACGCATGAATCTGAATTACGAAGCAAAACAGCCGGAGCAAGACAAAAAGAAGTGAGGAATGGGCTGCCTTAATGAAAGGGAAAGAAATTGGGAATGTTTCAGAAAACGAGAATTATACAGGTCTGCAGACATTTTTATCAGCTTATATGGCCCTCTGGAAATCTCTCTCCATCACCCTAGAAGTGAAATCTCTGTAAAGCCACCTTCTTCTCCAGCAGAAGGAGGACTGTGGCAGCACCAGGCACGGCCAGGGCAGGGCATTCGAGATGCACATTCACAACAACGACAAGGCTACAGAAGGTGACTAGCGGTTGCCCAATTCCCTTAGAAGGAAATGGTGCTTTTGAACGCCCTATTTATCATGTCTTTTATCTAAGCACAAACGTTATTGTTGTGTGTGGCATGTTTTTAGAAATATGAATTTACAAGAGCAGACCTGACAAGGCGGAGATGGCAAGAGATAGAAAGGAGGTCAGGCCCAGGTAGGAGCAGCCTCTCCTGGAGTCACTCCAGTGGGGGGCGGGGAGGTGCATTTGATTGGTCGATTCTCCTCACGAATCTATAGTGAGTATCAGAAGCCCCTGGGGGGGGCAGTGGGCTCACTACTCACACCCTACTGCAGCACTACCAGAGAGCGTACAGTTATTGAAGCCCAGCGCTGCGGCGTAGCATGTCATCAAACAGCGTCCTTGTACCACACTACAGCGTGTTATTGAATGATGCCGTTTTCAAAGCCATTATGATCTCACGACCTGGCACCTGGTCATTCCCACTCTTATCCCAGACGGCCTTTAACCAAGAGAATGGTGCTGTTTCTACCACTACTGAAACCACCCAACATTTTTGTGGTGTCCCCCTGTTGGCCACAAACAGTCACTACACCAAATATTAAATAAACAGTTCCTTATTTAGGAGATGCTAACTAGCTAGCTGTGATTTTCTGACTACTCGCTGGATCCGTATTTCGTTTTTGAAACATCTGAGGGGGGGCACAGGGGTCCAAAAGTGACTTTTCGAGCCCCAGAAACAACAAACCAGCCCCTGCCTGCAGAATACTGGCCAGCAGAAGCAGACATCTCCCCACATGCTGTCCCAGGTCTTCTTCAGTAACAGGTCACCAAACCAAGAAGAAGACAGCAGGTAGTAGGAGCTTTGATCTCTTTCCGTTTCCTCAGTTCTCAAGCAGAAGGTAGTTGCCACAAAAGCTGGGGTTATCACCCAGTACGCAGTTTCATAAGGACCTTCTTTTAGGGAAGATGCTGTTTTATCATGAACGTTTGACCTGCTCTGTTGGTAAGTAAACTGCCACCCACTTTACTGTCGACTGCT